ATTGTGTGTAGTAGAAGAATCAAGTATTTAGATCAAAACCAAAATTAGTGTTCGGGAGTCACCGTTGAAATTCGACCGAGCTCTATATGGAATCTATTTCGCACGGGTGTTTACGGTTTTTTTCTTCTTCTTCTTCTTAAAATCGATCGAAATGCGAAGAACCGAAGATAAAACGAAACAAGCAACCTGAGTGGGACGCATCCAATCGTCGAAACACAGACAAACACCAAAAGAAAAGAGAAACATTCAAAATGCAAACCCATGGCCCAAATATTGAATGACACAAAATATTATCTAAAAAAAATTGTTTTTTTTTTTCATCTTATTAATGAGGATTATTATAAAATCTGCCAACATAAAATTATGAAGAATGTAAATTTGTTTCGATGGCAAATGGTAATACATTAATCCACATTGATCCGATTGAAATGTGCCTCGGTTGTTATGGTTATTGGTTCGATTGCAGTTGTCATTGGTTTGATGATTCGATTGTGTTCGCTTGCATTGCAAATTGACGACAGAATCATGTGGAAAACGGTCAACTATGTGTCATTGTTGGACAAAAAACCTTAATAGAACCATTTTCGTCCATTTATTATAGAAAAATCAATTGACAAAAGCAATAAGCTGAAAATTAATGAACGATGATCGTTCCAATCGATTGGCTTTCGCCATTGTTTTCCAGAGTAATGAACTCACTCTGACAAAATGCGAATCTATTTTGCAGCATACATTGCCATAACAATTTTCATGTATTTCGTTGCGGTAAACAAGAAATTTTGTTACTGCATTGAAGTCGGCACACAATGGTCATTCGGTCGGCCGATGTTATTTTTGTGTTTGCATCTTTGCATCGAATTAGCCACACACCGGCCCAAATGCCATCGCCAAATGAACATTCCGAAAGACGTACAAACACACGGTACCCAATTGGAACATCCATCCGAAACGAGAACATATGTACAGTGTGAAAATAAACGACATTTTTAGGTACGTACACATTTTGGCCTGAATGTCTCGTCACATGATTAGAAAGTTCAACAATACTAAAGATAGATATATATAGTGTGTGTGTGTGTATGTGGTGTATTGTTAATAACCAAAACGATAACATAACATAAAGAAAAATAATAGCGAAACGCACAACAACAAATGACTTTGTATATATCTATAAAATAGAAATCAAATGCTTGAAAAACTGAACAGATGTAGAAGTAGCGCGGCATCATAGAAGCAAAAGATGAAAATCCAACAAACGAATCAATCCAACCTACAAACATACAATTTACATTGAATCTGTCAGATGGGAAAAATGAAATCAGCGTCATCAACACAATGGTGATCAATGTCCGAAAAAACTGACACCTAACACTTTGCTCCAACACACAAACAAAATACACTCATCTATTCAAAAAAAACCAGCAAGAGAATCAAATTCTGAAATTACATCGATTCCAAAGCAAAATCGCTTATGAAGCAAACACATTTTTCTCATTTCGTCAATTGAAATATACATCTATTTGTTATGGCATAGGGGCGATTGACGAACGATCATTGAATATTTGATTAAATTTAGAAGAGAGAGAGAATGTGTTTATATTGTGTGTATGTCGAGAATATGGCATTATACATACAACCAAAAATTACGTGTCTAATTGTCACTCAACTCTGCATACAATAAATACACATACATCAAATACGACACACATATGCTTTTATCGAATACAACAACAATAAAAAAAACATTAAATTCAGCTACACTCAGCGAGCGCGCACCGCAAACATAATATAATAATAACAATATGATGAAAGAATGAAACGAATGAATGACCGTTGCGGTTTTCGAACTTTAAAATTTAATTTGATGTAATTCATTTGAATTCTCATTCCAGGCTCAATTGTAGTGTTTGTCAATTTCACAATTGTTTTCTTTTTCGCTGTGTTTCGATATTTTTTGATAGAGTGAGACACAGAAAGAGAGATAAAGAGTGTGATCGTAATCAGTAACTTTCCGGAATGTGTATTCGAATTTTTTTTTTCTTGATTTGGTATCGTCGGGGGATGTATTTATTATTTAGTCGTCCTAATTCGACCGGATTTGTTGACATTTTTTTTTTTTCAAAATGAACATGAACATGAAATGTATTTTTTATGTGACAGTTTATACAATAACCTTTGTGTCTTGCCCTGATTCAATTCAATTGCATACGATTGAAATTGCAAGCATATACAGAAACACAAATACACTCATACGTAGAATGCGATTGTGAGATGTTTTGTTTTGTTTTTCTCCGAAAAAGGAAATAATATAATTACCTGTGTATCGTTTAGAATTTCCAAGTGTTCGCCTTTGCGAAAACTTAAATCTTCATCGGTCCGTGCATCGTAATCATATAAAGCGACGAATATCTTTGAATTTGGTTGAATTGGTTCATTTTCGGTGATTATTGGAACGGGTGAAACAGGTGGCGTTGGTTGTGGTACATTTGCAACATTAATGTGATCGTCATGTTGTGGTATGCTTCGTTCACCTTTGTCTTTGTCTAAATCCTGTTTCTGACTACTGAAACAATTTCCCATTGTGCTATTTGGTAATTCAGTCGCGTAAATGTAAGAGAGATAAAAAAAAATAACACACAGAGAGAGAGACACACACACACACAATAAACAGCAACAAAAAATTAAAAAGACACACTGCAATCACTTTTATTTATGCACGCGGAATAGCGTAATTTTCTTTGCGCTATAATAGATTATTCACTGTGTATTGTGATTGTTGTTGTTGTCGTTTACGTTCGTTGTCGTTGTAAGTGACGATGCTTTTAATTTGTCTATCTCTCACTCTCCTCTGCGATTATTTGCTCGTTTTTTCTTCTTAATTTTGGTCCAGACTACGTAGAATGCAATCAATTTTTTTAATCAACACGGGTGAGATATAATACACTATACACCAGTTCGCCACATTGGGTTAGAGATTTTTTTTTGATTTTGAGAATCGTACACAAACTCTCACACTCGTGAGAGTGGATATCGCACCAATTTCAATTGTATCAAACATTATATTTGCCTCTCATTATAATCACCGATGGTATCGCAAAAATGAAAACACCAGAAAGAAAAAAAATTAAACAACAAAAAATCAAATCACAAATACCGCAACCGATCTTCTTTCTTTATTTATTTTTTTACATAAATTTTTCGATTTGAATTTATATATTTATTGTAAATAAATACAATAGATATAATTTGAATGTTTTTGATACAAAAACGACAAGCAAAGAATTTTTTTGTGTGTTTTTTCTTTTTTTTTCTTTTAATTAGAAGAAACACAATGAGTTACTCTCTGGTATATTGTATGGGTCTTTTTCTTTAGCTCTGTTATTATGACTGAAAATGTAATGGCGACGAGTGTTTGGATTCACTCAGCTAGTTTTTTTTCCTCTTTCATCGTATGACTTAAACGAGACGAAAAAGAAACTATGAACAAGCATTACAACAGAGACAGATACATGTAGTACTACACCCATTCAACACACATACTTTTACAATTTTTGATTTTGCTTCTATTGTGTTATTGGTATAGATATGAATGTTGTAGCATACATATTGTGGTATTTTTGTGCATTAGCAGGGCGCGATCGCAATATGGCTGACACATATACACACCGATACCGATACCGACAATCACATAGATACAACACTCACTCATAATGTACATGGACGCGCATACACACGCATCAAAGTATTTTCCACAATGAACCAATCGTATGAAACACCGACACACATTTCAACGTTTTCATGCTCGCCAACCATGTATCAGTTTTCATTGAGTAATATCCAAAATGGTTTATGTGTATTGGTACATGACTGTGATTTACAGTATCCGTCAATCGGCTACGTTTACACCATACAATCATTTTGTTCCAATGACAATCATTCCGTTGATAACTTCATTGCAATTTTAAAAATAATCACAAAAACTACAGAGATTATCGGGTTATTTTGTTATTGTGAAGTTGATGAGAGTTATTCGGGGAAAAATCATTCACAACTTGAAATAGTAACGAATTATCGACATTCACTTTTGAAATAAACATTCGCTTTTGATGAAAGTTCATTTCTGTTTGGAACAATGGAATTGAAGATGTTTTTTTTATTATGATAACAATTAGTCCAAGTCAAAAGAAAATTGCTTCTTTTTCATCGAAATCAAAACTGGAGCTAAGCTTAATGTTTTGGACCTTTTGATGTAGCAATTACTGAGACATTTCACTTAAGAATTTCGTTCGAAATATTCGAAGTAATACGGTTTACCCTCTATAAGAAACTTTTATACTTTCATATTATTTTTTTACATTTAGATAACGAACACACATTTCAGTCATGATTATTCGAAATATTTTGGAATATTCTTGGAATTTTTTCTGTAAATACTGCAAATGATATCGAATAATATATATGCGGCGCTGCAACGATTCATATGTGTGAAAAGACAATTCTCCTTAATAAAACAAGTGTTTTCTTACATTTAAGTTCTTTTTTTCAATTTATTTATTCAAAATCGAACAAAAAAATCTGTCGAATTTTCTGTACCAATGGATTTATTTGTATTTTTCAAGCTTCATGTCTGAGATTTTATAAGTTGTCGATTCAAAACTGAGTGAAATAGAAATAAACGTAAATTTTGGATTACAATTTGAAGTGGAAATTAGAAATAGATACATGTATAGTGAAAATAAATACATGCAATATATGTTTTGATAATTTCGCTTGAAATTAATCCAAGAAAAGCTTAAAAATAAAATGTCAACGAATTTTTTCAACAACCAAACCGAAAATATTTAAATATCTATCGGTTATCAAATCAAATCGCATATAATTCGGAATATCTGTTGAAAATGTTAAAACTCTCTTGAATATTTGAATGGTTTGTTTTGCTTCAATCGGTATGAAGTTGGTGTGAATAGCATGAACGTCAATATGTTTGACAGTTGTGTATACAAACAAGTCGCATGTGTAGAATGCCACTTGTCATTCCTATCTGTAATAAAAAAAGACTTTATTGTTATATTTTCCGTTCAAACACCAAATCGTATCATTGAACAAATGTGTTGAATTGTGTGTACGATAGTTGTCGATAGATTCAACAATTAAAATTGTAATTGTTATCAAGTAAAAGTGACCGAAAACCAATTCAAATGTACCATTACATTTGATTAATTATTGCAGTGTGTAAAATTACGAATTTTCTAAACATATGTACAAATAAATGGTAAAACATCTCCAACTTAGGAGCGGTTTCCGCAGTTATTTCTGCTGAAAGTGTTTTTTCCTTTAATTTTTGTTTTGTGTGAAAAATAAAAATAAATGTCCAAAAAACGGAACTTTCAAAATTTTTTCAAACGAAAACGAATTCGATGAAAAACATGAACTAAACAAAGGATACCAAAAAAAAGTAGTTTTATGTGTGTTTGTTTGTGTGTGAAAAACTAGAGTACATTGATCAACGATCATTCATCACACCGAAAACCAGCTGCTTTATTCAAAATCTGCAGGCTTTGTTTACATATCGTCATTAATGAAAACTCGATTTATTTATGAATAATATTATTTCATGGAATTTTCTTTCACACACTTGAATTGCATGAAAAAAAGAATCAAATAAGCCTGAAGTCTATCAAATATACATGCATAAAGTGGATATTAATTGACAAATGAAAATAGATTTTTGATACATGTATACATCACATGTGTACCCTCATCAATAACGCACAAATATCGTACATACGCACTGCACTGGTGTGCATACGCATTGATTACGACAGCATTGCCAGGAAATAATAGAAATACAAAAATCCATTAAAAAAACACAGACCAACAAGGGGGAAAAGGACTGTGACAAGATCTGAGTATTTGAATGAATTTCAAACGCAAGACGATGAGTACCAGTTACTTGGACGTTCCAATCGGAATTCGCCTAATCCAACGTTATGGTCGCAATGAGAATCAACAAAATCGACTTTTTAGGTAACATTGTTGTTGTTGTTGCTGCTAATTATATCAATTTGCGCGGTTTTGTTTACTCAATAATCCATACGTGTAAACATAATCAAATGTATGTTATATCAATTAATTATTGTTTCACAGATATAAATTCTCAGTTTTGGCACTCACATACGTGGCATACACATGTTATCACTTGACACGAAAGCCAATCTCGGTTGTAAAAGCCGTTTTACATCGCAATTGTTCATTGCTGGAAGCTCCCAAACAGGTGACAGATGCCACAAATGAAAGTACTTGGTGCGATTATGCACCGTTCGGTGAGTTTAACAATTTTCATAAGAAAGTTATTTCTATCGATTAAAATAATTCACAAGATTTAAAATTGTAATTTGGGTCCCATCTGTTAATAAAAATAAACAATTTCACCCGAGAGTACGTTCGATGACGCAATACATCTAAGCAAATAAATTAAAATGAGATTACGAAATTATCTCATTTGTCGTATACATTCACGATTTAAGACAATAATAAAATCAACAGAGACGAAGAAAAAGCGATTGACAGCACGTTTCATACCTATATGGTGTGCACATATATCAAGCACATCATGAATCTCACGCACATTGAACTTTTGATTTTAGCATCAAAATACAAATAACTTTTTCGTCCACATACAATGTTGATCAAAATGACTAATGACAATCCAAAATGTGTAACCTGATCTCAATTGAATTGAATACCATTTGTATGAAAAATTTCGAAATATTATACGAAACCGTGTTTGCTTTATCATATTCCTATGAAAATATTGCAATTATTGCAAGGGCAGCGCAATTGAAATGTTTTCATTTGTTTTGCTCGAATTTTTGCTGCCGTTTACAATTTCAATTATGATTAATTTGTTGCAATGCAAAATAAACAACGTTATCCAAATAAAAACACAGCGATAATTCAGTTCGGTCGTGTTTTTCAGACGAGGAGAATTTGCATTTATTAACTTCGTGAGAGATTTTATTTGAGTTGATATAGTATATAATGACTCATTACATGGGACACCAATTACATGTATTTCGATATGCACAATGAAAATATCATTAATTTTTTTTTTACAAATCACTTTCCTCTTCAAACAGATGGACCCGATTCGTCGGCGTTGTTGGGAACATTAGACACTGCATTTCTGTTGACATATGGAATTGCAATGTTTGGATCGGGTTTTGTTGCCGAACGTGTATCGTTACGATATTTTCTCACATTTGGAATGCTATTTTCGGCCATATTTACGTATATGTTTGGCGTCGCCAAAGTTTATGATATTCATTCATTTTGGTATTTTGTTGCTGTGCAAGCGTTGGCCGGAATGTGCCAAACGACCGGTTGGCCCGGTGTCGTAACTGTGGTCGGAAGATGGTTTGGCAAATCAAAACGTGGTCTCATATTCGGCATTTGGAATAGTCATACATCGATTGGCAATATATTGGGTTCCATTGTGGCTGGATATTATGTCGAACGAGATTGGTCGATGTCATTTATAATGCCAGCATTTGTAATGGGCATCGTTGGAATCATTTTATTCCTATTCTTGGTTGATTCGCCCGAAATTGTTGGATGCCAAGTAACACGCGGTGAATCTCGACGTGGCAGTAGTACATACAACTATCGTAGCATAGAAGATGGCATCAATGAATCAGATGAAGATGTAAATATTCGCGCAAATTTACGCAGTGAAAATGAGCTAAACAACGTTGTCGAACAGGTATTACAAAACTCATATGCACTTTCATGTTTGTTTCATTTTATTTTATTGTTTACTAATCTTTGAGAATTAGACGTTTTCTTATTAAAAAAAAACAATTAACATTCCCTTCTTGTATTTACTAACTTTATAAAAAAGAGTATTTGTTTGTTCATTTTCTCACTAATTTGGTATTTTAATAACCATGTTCTTAGTTGGTAATATTTAAATGTATTCATTTAACAAGGAATTTTATTCAATTTACGCCCAATTTTAGGACGATAACTCAATTCGAAATATCCCTGGTGATGAAAATTTTGTAAGTGCATGGTCACAGAATTGAATTTTTGACTTTTTCTTTAAAGCCATGTAAATCATTTGTAAATTTATCATTTTTTTGTTGATTTGGTATTTGATTAACCCCTAGAATGTTGAAGTTTAATTTGAACGAAAAAAAATCTGTAACAAAGTAGTAAAAATGTCATTTTAAATTTGATTTTGAATCAACAGGAAATAAATCATCGGCCAACTGAACGAACTCCAATGATTGGTCAACGTCGAGGCTCTGATGTTTCATTCAGTGGAACTGGCAATCATGCAGCCATTGGATTTGGTGGTGCTCTTCAAATTCCGGGCGTTATTGAATTTTCATTGTGCTTATTCTTTTCGAAATTAGTGAGCTACACGTTTCTCTATTGGCTTCCAAATTACATCGAACACTCAAGTAAGCTATTTTCTATTTTCAAATGATTCTTTATCAAAAAACAAATTTCATTTACAGCCAGTCTCGGTGCACAGGAAAGTGCAACATTATCAACACTATTTGATTTTGGTGGTATTTTGGGTGCAATTGCAGCTGGTATGATATCGGATTACAGCGGAATGTCAGCATGCACGTGTACAGCGATGCTTTCTTTGGCCGTTCCCATGTTGCTTGTTTACCAAAAATTCGGAGCATTAACCTATTATTTGAATATGTTATTATTGTTTTTCCTCGGTATACTTGTGAATGGGCCATATGCATTGATTACAACGTCAGTTAGTGCTGAGCTTGGTCAACATAGTTGCTTGGAAGGAAATTCAAAAGCATTGGCCACAGTTACTGCAATCATCGATGGAACTGGTTCGCTTGGAGCGGCTGTTGGCCCATTTTTAGCTGGTTTCTTTTCGGCAACCAGTTGGGAACATGTATTTTATATGCTTATTATGGCCGATATTTTAGCAATGATTCTTTTATTGCGATTGGTAGGCAAAGAAATTTCCAAATTTAAATTAAATCCGCGCATCGATTGACATCGTTAATCAATTTATAGATAGATTTTTTAACAAAAAAATGAAAACAAATAAATCACTGCACTTTTGACGTGTTCTCACATTTCGCATATTCATTGCCATTCAGATATAGTGTTTGTGAACACGTGAAAACTTAAACATTTCTTATATATAAATATGGAATCAATTGTGATGATTATAGACGACCAAACGAGAAGAACAAAAGAATTGACATTGACTTAGTATAAAAATGGTACCGAAAATGTGTCTTCAATTGTTAACCAAAACATTTAAACGCATCATCAAAAAACAAACATACAAGGGAAATGTACGAACCCGTTTTTTATGTTTACAAAACGTGTTCAACTTCGTTTTTCTTGTTCAAACACATCCGTGATGTAGTTTATTGAAAAATAAAATCTCATATCTAATGTTGAAATTAAAATAGAAAACGCCACATTATTATTATTATTATGCAAATTATTATAATTCGTGATTTTTTTTTAGCATTTTTTTCTTTTTCTCTCCTTTGTCGATTTAAGATGTTCCATTATCTTTTTCAATTTTTTTCTAATTCAATTAAAAACAAGTCTGTAAGTCATAAGTTTTATCGAAATTTTCTGACAGAATATAGTATTTTCCGAAACAGATTTAATGACAAAATTATGGTGTTTCATTTATTAATATACTCCATTTTTTGAGGGTACTACTTTTCAGGAGATGCATAGAAAGTAACGAACATCTATGGATTTATAAACTAAATTTATATATATAAATTCAAAAAAGCGATCACTAGTTGAAACCGTATATTCGAACGTGCATTAGCAAATCGAAAGAATTTTCCAATATTTCTGGTGATGGGGAACCACGGAAGTTCCTACAGGGATCAAAAGTTCCCAAAAATGCCGTTGTATAGCTCCTTCTCGTCTTCTGAATTCGCTATTTAAATGTCATATTCAAAAACTTTAAATGAAATAAAACAAGGTATTTGTATATTTTTCCAATTTTTTTTTTCATCATCTTTATTTTAAAAAAAATCATTTGTCTTCTCATTTGTAAATTGAAAGAAGAGACGAATAAAAAAATGTGATGAAAATAAAAAATAAAATTTTTATAAATGGAAATTTTCATTTAATGTTAAATAAAAAAAAATCGCGCTTCTGTAAATTTAAACTACATAAAAAAGTCCATATTCATGATAGTTTTCTAAATAAAATTCGCTTTAAAACTATAAATTAATTTATAAAAAAAGAGTAATTGGAGCGCTTAAATAAATATGATTTTTTTTCGTATGATTTTTTTGTTGTTGTCTTTTCTTTTCAAAATTTTAAATCATTTTGATTTCAATAAATGTTGTTTTAAAAATTTGTTGCTTGTTTATATAAAGATATTTATGAAAATGCTTAGTGCCGTACAAGAGAGACTAAAAATCGGACTGAATTAATTTCGTTTAAATATTGTTAAATTACGAAAAAAATTAATGAGACTTAATGTGGTTATTGGAATTTCGATTCCAATGTGTATACTATGCCATGAATGTCGAATGAATTTGAATTTGATTTGTACGCTTTATAATTTGATCATTTCCCTTTACGAAGACTAAAATTTGCTTAGAAAAATTGCAATCATTGATGAACCAAAGGGAAAAATACGTGTATTAATTTAATAAATATTAACAAAAATGTGTGGCTCGGACGACAATGAAAAAACGTTAGCCTGTGGCTGTAATGTTACGTATTGATTCGAATGTTCAAGGTTGAAGGAAGTAAATCTGTCACGATGAATGAAATATTTGAATGCACATTACAGCCAAAAGCCATATTACAAATGCTTTTTAATGTATGTTTGAAGTGAATAACATATTAAATGAGTGTGTGTCGTCTCTAATAAGTGCATTATCGCATAATATTTTAGTATTAATATTAAAAAGGAAACGAACATCAAATTTGATTTACTTATTATGAATGAATGAATGAATGAATAAATGACGAGCAGTGGATAGACGTATTCACAGATGAAATGGCATCACGTGCGTGGAAGGTTAAAAAAAATGTATAAAATATTATTTGATACTAATGCATGAATTGTCTTAATATAGGAGAACGAAATATAAAGAAAAATCTGGTCAATCTGGTGTGTTTCTTTCGTCTTGAATGTGAATTGTATCAAATGCATATATGATTATTTCATAAGAAGATTTTTATAATACAAATTAAAAGTCTAAAAACGATGATGTTGAAAAAAATACACACACGCTATTTTCACTATTGGCAATATTCTTACAATATTTTGGTTACAATTGATTCATTTGATTAAAAACCGGTTTTAATAAGGAACGAAATATAAATCAAAACCACTGAGATAAATATAAACATTTTTCGAACAAAAAAAAATTCCTTTCATGCGCTCAGATGCTGTTCTAAAAATTTCATTTGTTATGACTTAAAAATTACTCTTAAGCTTAAATTGTAAATTGTAAAATTGAAATCAGTCCCAAAAGTCTTGATTTTCCTATTGATTTCTTATGTTTTTTTCTGTTTGTTTGTTTTTTTTTTTAGTTGCTTATTTTCCCTTTTGTTGCTGCTTTTTTTTGCTTCTTCATATTTAAGCTGCCGCTCACAATTGCTTAAATATTTTTCATACAAAAAATAATAATAAAAGTTTAAAAAAAGATCATATCGTACGACGTCGTTAAAATGTATATACTATGATTAGACACATATGAGTTTTTTTTATATATATTAGTATGTTTTGCTTTGTTTTCACGCTTGATTCATTCTTTTTTCATTCAATTTTTTTTGTTTAAAAACGAACAATTCAATTGCGATGTACAGTACACATATTTTGTATTAGGTCAGCATTGAATCGAACTTAATTGTGAGCTGAAATATTTCACTTTTAGCTGACATTGGCTGAATTCGGATCAAAACGTACATATTTGGCAACTATTTCAGTCGGCTGATGCGAATTCAGTGATTCAATCATCGGAAAATATTTCCAATTCAATGTTAAGTCAGATTCATTGTCTGGCCATTTGCTCATAAAAATGATGTTTTGTCATGGCTTTTATCTTTTAATCGTCGTGATGATGAGTGAAAATGTTTGTTTTATGAAATATACTTATTGTTAAATAAATAATCTCTAAGTGTAAAATGTAAAATGTACATCAGTCAATTTCATCTTTTTTTATGTCACATTTGATTAAACTGATGTTATTTTCGAATTATATTTTAGATTTGTGTATTTTTTCAATTCATGTGCTTGTTTCGTTTAAAAATTGCAAAAATATCTCCTGATTTCAGTTGATTTCGGCTGGTTTATGTGTTTATCTATTTTGTATATAATGTGTGTATGTTTAAATGGTCTTCTTTTAATAGGTATTTTGTTGTTGTTGTTTTTTTTTATCGTTATCGCATGCTTAGCATTCGAATTCACTGGCAGTGATAGCACTTAAATCTATTGAAGAAATAAATGAAATGAGTGTTATAAAATAAATGCGTATTTCTTTTGAATCTTGAATGAATTACCTTTCATCAAACCTTCCAAATTGGCCATTTCCTGATTGAGTTCTTCGGTTGATGTGCTTGGCGCTAGTCTTTGAATTTCATCCGATGAATGGGCAATCATTGGACCCGATTGTTGCAAACGATTTGTTAATGTATTTGATAATGAGATCGGTGCAATCGTTGATCCTGTACTATTCGTTAGCGATTTTTTATATGGCGATGCATTTTGTGGACGAATTGCCACTGCTGGAACTGAACACACATAATTTACATTGTAAACAATCGAATTACGATTTATCAATTTCATTCGACACTTACCATTATGTTTGTTGGGATTTGAGATCAATGGTGTTGTATTGAGACTAGGAGGGGGTGGACCTGTGAACAATAATAATACATTTATCCCATTTGAACAACAATTGTGTCTGAATTTTAAAATAATAATTGTGTATTGTCTTACCTGGTACCGAAAAACTTTGCAATGGATGGCCCTGACCTCGCGGTGCTTTTGGCACATCGATTGAAAGGCCGGGTGCATATGTTATACTGGGATTGCTAGATTGAAAATATTCATAATTATTTAGTCATTTGATGTCTGTATTCATTCGTTCTATATCATCGTATTTTTTTTTACCTATAATTTGATGGCATTGAGTCGTAACTGTATGGATTTTCGGGGGTTTGTGGAATCGTTGTCATTTGTGTTTGGTTTAAATTTTGTTGCGATGAATTCGGATCGATGAGCATACGATTGTAAGTTCGTGTATAATGCGATCGATCTAATGTTGAATTCATTGGCGTTGCTATGAAATTGATTAAAAAAAATTCGAAATAAAAATATATACAAGCTGTTGTTTTAAGTGTTGATTGCACACAGTTACTCACTCATATAACCAGGAACGTATTGTCGTTTATCCAGCGAGTTTGTGATATGCGTATGGGATAAGTCAGTTTCATATTCATGGCCGGTTCGTGGTAAAGTCATTGCACCGCTGCTTGATGCGCCATCATTTGGTGGATTCTTTTCAACATTTTTCAATTCCATTTGATCATGATGGATCCATAAATCGGGCGGTTGATTTCCGCTATTACCTTTATTATAATTATGTTTTCCATCTGGTGTACCTTGTGGCTTTGTTCGGCATAACATCATTCCGACTTTTATTGAAATCAATAGTGTCACCACTATCACACCGGCAACGATATAAATTAAATATTCATTAAATATTAAACTGGCTAAACCGTGATGGTTTGTTGGCATTTTCAGGTCTTCGTTCATATTTGTATTGATTGGATTTGATAAGCTTATTAAATTGCCCGTTTTATACGAAATCATTGCCGAAAATGTGCCTTGCTGTGCTCGATTCACATTTTGTGTTTGCACTTTAAAATAATAGATAGTACTTTGTTTGAGATTTTTAATTTTTATTGTGGTATCGGCATTTGCTGTTTCAATTGACCAATCGCGATCACGATTCGATGAGTCTGTTGTATAGTACACCAAATACCCACTGATTTGACCGTTGTTATTGTTACGTGGTGGCAACCATTTTAAAATAACACCATGTGGATTCGTTGGATCTGGTTGAGCGGTAAGATCACGCGGCGGTGATACGGCCGATAATGAGAATGTTGTATTCACTTCAGACATTGACCAAGGCGATTCACGACGTCCTTTAACCGCTTTCACAGCAAATTCATACTGTGTGTTCGGCCGTAAGTCATCAATCATACAATTCATATCCGATGTATTGTAATATTTATAACGTGTCGAATCAACAATATTATAACGAACCGTGTAGAAACGACTGCTTGACGTATGTGGAGCTCGACTCACTGAATTATCGGTCCAATAAACTACAATTGATGTGGCTGACATTGTAATTGCTCGCAATCGAACTGGCACTTCTAAGACAAAACCACCAGTTTCAATTGGACCTTCGTCACGTGTTTGAATGTTACTGTACGCTGGTTCACCGTCGCCAGCCAAATTTCGAGCTCTCAGTGACAGCACATATTCGCTATTTGGTTCCAAATTTTTTATCTCAACAAAACGTAATTTTTCATCAAGGATACGTGTCTCAACATCCGGAATACCGATGCCAAAACCCAAAATATAAGCTCGCACTTTAATCTCTTGTTGATTGGGCGGACTCCATTGAATTGATATACTATTACTTGTTGCTCGTGCTGTTAATTTTAAACAAAGATAAAAAAATGATTAGACGTTTTGGGGGGGGAGGGAGAATAAATGAGAGAATCCTTACTGTTTGTGATTATTGGTTTTAAAGGTACATGACTTTCGGTTAAATCGCTTTCGTATGTTTCGATGGTGGTCCATTCGGTGAACGGTCCTGTTCCGTTTACTGTCATCGCTGCTATTTTCACCTGATACACCGACTTTTTGTCCAGTCCACGTAGCTCATAGTGTCGCACATTGGCTGGCGTTGTTTCGACTTGAACATGTTTCTTTTGTTTGCGATATCGAATTTTGTAACCGGTAATTTGACCATTTTGCTCTTCTGGTGGCGGTGGTTGCCATCGCACTGTTATTGACTATTATGAAAATGGTCAAAAATTGATAATTATACAAAAAGAAATGTATGTTATAGAACTTACAGTTGAACTGGTTGCTTCAAGTGTAACATTCAATGGCGATTCGCCCGGAATTGATGAAAATGTTTTCACTGTGATTTCTTTCGACGAATCTCCCATGCCATTTTCATTGACTGACACAACATAGATGGCATATTGAGTGAATGGATGCAATTCGGTTAATATCACTTCGGTTTCAGCACCAATACTGTCCACATACAGATCAACACCGTCTGGTTCAGTGTAATATACACGATACTTGGAAATGTTTCCATTTGAAATCAATGGCGGTGTCCATCGAACATGTATCTCTTTGTGACTAAGGGCTTGTCCAAATACATTTTTAACAGCACCGGCAATATTTTCATCGGGTTGTGTTGTTAATTCAAAGATATTTGACGATTCACCTGGTGTTTATATTCCAAAGCAATTAATAAATAAAATCGATTTATTCAGACAAAAGAAAATGTTTTTTTTATACATACCTGGACCATGATTGCTATTACCAACCACACGAAAGTGATACGTTTTGCCTGGAAGGACTGATTGAATGATTGCCGTTTGTTCATCACGTGATTTTGTTGTTAACTTTCGTTCGCTAAACATTGAAAAGAATTGAAAATGAGTCAGATCTTTCTGCTTTCTATGGTTAAATCATCATACTCACCGTTCGCTTGAAGTCATTTTATAAAATACTGTGTATGATATAACTTCGTCCGGATTTCGAGCTGGTTCCATCCAGCTAAGTGTTACATATCGATTCACTAGTTGCGCAACTAGATCTCTTGGTGGTCCCGGTATAAGCGCCTTCAAATTTGTATCACCATCTAAATGTTCGATTAATAAATCAGTAGAATGTTTAATGGCATTAGTTTTGTCAGCGTCTATTGTTGTTGCTATTGATGATGATGATGATGATTTTCGATTATTTTGTTCGTTCTTTTCATTGGCCTGTTGTTGTGTTAATGTATGCAGCAATGTATTCGGATTAACATTTGGATCGATTTGATGAATGGTTCCTTCATCTTCATCATCATAATCGTCGCCATTTTGATCATAATCATCACTATTTAAATCTTGTTCGTTGCTCAATTTATCTTTCGATTGTAAGCTATTGAAAATGCTTTTTGGTATTGAATTTGTCGGTAATTTTGAATTGGTGGCCAATTTTGGTGTGGCCGTATGAATTGGTGAATCGGCAGCTATTACTTCAGTCGACGATAACATGGTCGATTTCATTTTCGAATGTTTTTCTTTTGATTTTTTACCCTTTTTTCCTTCTAATTTAATTCATTCGTTTGGATGCAATCATCAAATCAAATTAAAACCAAATTGACAAAACACCACACGAACAGAATTTCAAACGCAAGAGCATGCAAAACGATCATTGATGAAATTAAACATGAACATAAAAAAGAAGAAAAAAAAAACAGAAAAAAGATATAGTATATGAGAAATAAAAAGGAAAAGAAACGGGTTTGAAACATATAAAATCTATTAAAATCTAAAAAGAAAACATTAATACATAATTTTTGTTTTGGTAAAAAATCTAAAACGACAATTTTTGGACCAAATATACGTTGATTATTTTTCTTTTGAATGCCAAATCGATTTTTCGTCTGCTGTGAATTAACGCGATGTTTCGTACGTAAACTATTTTTCGAATTAAATAAAAAAAAAACTTACTTGGTGTAGCGATTTCAAGTCGAGCTGCCGCCTGAATGCTACCCGCTGAATTACTGCCAATGCATTGAAACATACCGGCATCCGTTTCGATAATTCCAAGAATTCGCAAATTATGTCTAAATTAAATGGAAAATGTGAACAATTTGAGTTGGTTCAATGCATCGTCGCAGACAAACCCATTTGTTTTCAACTCACCCATTAACAATTTGCATATAGTCATTTGGCGTGATAACATCGCCATTTTTCAGCCACTGCACAATGGGCGTTGGTTTACCTTTTATTGCACACACCATTTCTAATTCATCTTTTTCATAAGCGATACGATCAGTGGGATTTTGAATGAATTTCGGAGGCACTTGAACAAGCAATGAAATTTCAATATCGGCTGAATCCATGCTGTTGCTTGCACGGCATTGATAATTTCCAGCATCTGCCTCATCGATCGATGTGATTTGAAGTGAACCCGTTCCGATCATGCGGAATCTTGGATTTGTTTCACTTATATCAATATCTTCACCGTTTCGAAGCCATTTAATTTGCGGCCGAGGATTACCATTTGCAACACAGTCCAATGTGACCGTTTCACCTTCGTTCACCGTTTTCGATGTTGATTCGGTCAAAAATGTTGGCGGCTGAAATTGTTGCGGTTCACCGCCAGCTTTAATATTTAAATTAGTTTTACTACTATGTCTGAAATAGAATGAAAAGACCGTTGAATTGGTAAATGCCATCTGGGTAATTTCAAGGGTGTTATTTTTCATTGAATGTAATCGGCTTACGTATAAAAAGTTCCTGAGGTAACGTTGCACTGATACGTTCCTTTATCGGATGCAATCAATTCATCAATTTCAATTGCACCCAATGGAAACAATACCATTCGAGTGTTGTCAATAGTCAATGGTAAATCATCTTTAAACCACTGAACATGATATTTGCCCAATTCCATTGTTGTCGGCGATGCTAAACACTTAAAATACGCCGTTTGACCGGGATATAAATACAATTCCCGAAATAAATTATTTGTTTCTGGCAATTCTGTTGGCAATAGACATACAAAACAAAAAACCAAAAATTAATCAAATCCAATTTAAAATCAGTTGTACGTCTTTCGCATTCATTTAAATCAATGGCATTTTTATTAAAATAAATGATAAATTCATCAAGACCAAATAAAACTTACTTGAAATGGAAACAATCGCAGACCGGCTGACAATTGTTCCGATGCCATCGCTGCTGAGTAAACATTGATAGGCACCGGTTAAACCTCGATTTTCCTCAACTGAGCTGATGTACAAAGAGCCATTCTCGAGTTGAGTTCTAAATTGGGCAATTATCCGTAAAAAAAAGAATCCAACCAAAAGCGAAGAGAACGGTAACGTGGAGAGACAGAAAAAACGAAATAAATAAGACATGAATGATGATGTGCATGCATTGAATGTTTCAAAATAGAAATCGGTTTTTGTGGGAAAAGTGCATAAACAAAAATCGCCCGCATGCAGTTCCGAAATATGCAGTTTAACTAAAATTTGAGCGCGTCACATGACGTCTCAATTTACAATACGCATTGACCCAGGCTAAATTGTAATTGTTGTGTTTTTGTTGTTGTTGTTGTTGTTTTTATTTTGACGAGCCTTACCGAAATGTATCACCAACGATGCCAATGTCTTGACCATCTGGCCCCCTCCATCGTATGTTCGGCAGTAAATCCAATCGATTCTTGTTGAATTTGCGTTTCGTTAACAAATGATCAGCATTTGTATGCGTTAATTCACCCTCACATGGTAATAAAATTGAACTTCCTTCAGATACAACGATATTGCTTGGTTCGATCGTAAATCGTAATGCTGTTGCAACAACAATTTATGTTTTATAAAAAAAAGAAGAACAAGAAGAAAAGAGAAGAAAAAACAACATTGAAATAAAGTACCCGAATGTAAGATAAGTCATGCACACATGAAAATCATTTGGTTAATATCTCTTAAGCGGTTTATAGTAGCGAGAGATTTACAACAAACTCGCATTAGACTCGTTTAAAAATCAATTCGTATTATTTCGTTTTTTTCGTTTCCTTTTCTCAAACTGATAACGATCTCACTTCAAACCAATCGAACCAAATCGAAACGACGACGGCTCAATGGCTTTGAAGTTAATGATATTTTGAAGCAAAATCATTTTTACACACACAAATGAGCGAGCGAATGCGCGATCAAATAATATTCATAGCTCATATTCGAAATTATGGTTGCAACTGGATATTTTCCAAACTATTATTAGCCCAATAAATCTCAATTAATTCGAATTATAGTCATAATTTCCATGGTATGCATATAAAGTCGCTTGTAACGTTAATCAACAAACGACAGCGCATGAAAATCTAAATAAATTGAAACGCTAATTCGCTCAGCTTAAATATCATCAGATTTGTTTTTTTAAATTGTTTGTAGCATGGATATCAAATTTTGAGTAGAGCAAAAAAGAAGAAGAAAATAAAAACGATTTTTTTTTTCATTTGGGAAAAATGTACATACTTTGGCTAGCATCGATGATCGTAAACAATAATACAGACACCGTCCAAAACAAAAACATTGTCTTGTTTGTCGTCTTTGTCGTTGCTATTGCCGCTGCTAATACCATTATCATATTGTTGTCACACCAAATCGATTGTATTCCATTATCCACCGATGATGTGCCGTCAATGTGTTTGTTGGATTATAATATTGTATGCGTCAACTAATAAATTACACTTGATTCTCTCTTTTTTGGTTCGGTATATGCTATGCTCAGCCCTTTCAATCCTGGCATATATAAAATATATTAACCAACTCAATAGAGTTCAAACACGGCAAACAGAAAAAAACGATACCGCGGAAAACCGATTCAATGCTAAGCGTGAGCCAACAAACGGAAAATCACATAAAAGTCAAATATATAGCCGACGAACTCAATTCACCATCGCGAAATGAGACAAAATAATACCATGAATGAGAAAGAGAAAAATGTCACTTCATATTTTCTAATCAACTGATTTCCACACTCGTGTTTTCGCTTCCTGGTCCCTTTTTTCACGTACACCGTATTTTTTCCTTTTTTTTTAAAAAAAAAAAAAAACACTATGAAATTTATGTTTTGATTTAAAACAAATTATCGCGGTGAATGAATGCTTTTTTATTTGTTTGATTTCGTTCGCGTTTTATTGTCAATACGGAAAATTTGTTGTCAACACTAATTCTAAATGGTTTTTCCATACACTTATTCTCACTATGTTTTTTTATTTTGACTACAAATCGACTAAAAATCGTACACAAACCAAAAATTAAAACACATAGTAAATTAAATGGTCAAGAATAAAATACACACAAAATATGGTTGGGAAGCGAAATTCAAGAGCAAGAAAATTGAGAGAATCAGTCGGGCTCACACTTCGCCATTTAAATTCAATTGAGTTATGGGCATCGTAAGAGAGTTTACACTTCAGTGTAACAACAACAAAACACGGGTAAAAAAGACTTATTTACGCGCATCACACAAATACATGCACACACGCACACTCAAACGCCACAACACACAATACAACGACTCGATCGTGTTGATGCATTCAATGGGTGCGAGTGTTCTGTTTGTGCAAGGCGAAGCATCTGTATTGATTTGTGTATGTGTGTTAGATAGATTGAATAGACAGATGGAAGAATGGAACACACCTACATTTCAAGAGCATCTGTAAATGCCAAGTGACAAAATCGAAATATGAATGTCGATAACCATACCGAATCCATGCCAATTCCATAATAATCATAAAAACAAATTACATTTTCAATCAATTGGCATTTTTTTCATTTACATATTACAGAAAAATGATTGGAATTCTTTTCAATTTAAAACGAAAGAAATAAATCAATGCTTTGAAAAAGTCATAAACTCAACGAAAATGCTACGTTGTTATATTGGTGGCGCCACCACAAATAAAACTGAACTAAAGCATGCCGCCATATTGGTAAACTATGTAACATCTATCAAAGTCTTGCCTGCATTGCCGTGAACTCTTTCTTTACAAATTTTGTGCTTGCGAAGAGACGTATCTGTCTTGTTTCACAGTGAACAAATAGGTGAATATAAATACGAAAACATTGCAATTTCCCGTAAAAAGTCCATGAATTAACGATAAAACATTTAGTGCATATGATAACAATGAATTTTTATGAAATTATTGTGAAAGTTTCCATGAATAAATTGATTTAAAAATATGAAATTAGTGGACTGCTCAATCTACACGTGTTTATATATTGGGTTCTCTGTGCACGCGTATAGGTTATGTTCGGTTCCACTAGTTTCGTTAGCAAATTTCTTTCACATTTCACTTTAATTTCAGAGGTTCGTTTTTTTTACGGGAAATTGCTCAATTTTGTCAGGCGAAAAAAAAAATATAGTTTGTGCAAATAAAATGTGATATGCGTGATTGACCATTCAACTGAACGTGATTGTATATGATAAAAAAAATATCGAACATGCGGCATATCATCGCTCGCTATAAACACGAAATGCCAACTGACCATTGTGACAACTCAACATAAGTGGCCAGCTCTTGTGTTTCATTCGATATTTCATTTAATCACATAATGTCACACATACAATAATATTTGCTAAATTTGAAATTTTATTAAGAATTTCTCTTGGTCTTCTTTTTTTTCGCAGAATAAATCAAAATGTCATCGGCTGCTGTTATTCGTACCCGTAAATTCATGACAAACCGTTTGTTGTGCCGTAAACAAATGGTGTGCGATGTATTGCATCCTGGTTTGTCATCGGTCAGCAAAAAAGACATTCGCGAGAAATTGGCGGCTATGTACAAAGTTACACCCGATGTTGTCTTTGTATTCGGTTTCCGTACAAACTTCGGTGGTGGCAAATCAACCGGATTCGCATTGATCTACGATACATTGGACTTTGCAAAGAAATTCGAACCAAAATACCGTTTGGCCCGTCACGGTTTGTACGAAAAACAAAAGCAAACACGAAAACAACGCAAGGAACGCAAGAACAGAATGAAGAAGGTGCGCGGTACCAAGAAAGCAAAGGTTGGCCAAGCCGGAAAGAAATAAGATGCGTTAATGTGAACATTTCACTACCGTCGCCTCCACCACCAACAACATTCAAAAAAATTAATTATTGTTTATACTTTCTGGTAATCGCACACTTTCCAACAACAGAAGAAAAATACAATGGGAGAAGCTGAATTTAAGCTAGGTTCACATGAAGCTCTTTCAATTGTTTTGTGAAAGAAAAAAAATCAATTTTTCTTTGTTAAATAAATGTATGTGTTATTCGAAAGTATGAAACACATTTAAAAAAAAATTATACGATCAAATTTGTTTTGTTTCTTAAATGGTTAAATATTCATTTCAGTATCTTTCACTGCATTATGATGGAGCATCACTTGTTGGTAGTATCAAAATTTAGTTTATCCATCGATTGACTGGGCTCTTTTATCTTTGCAAAATAAAATTCTTATTGGATAATTGTGAATTGACCCAAACAAAATCTATAAATTGAAAAAAATCAAAAGTGGCACATATTTTGCATATAAAAATATAAAACATAAAGATAATTTCGTACGATTTTGTCCATGTGAATCGACCAGGTACTGTGAACGCACCCATTTGTAAGCAATAACAGACTCACTCTCGCTTTATGAACAATTTTATAAAAATTGTGCAAACAAAAAAGCCAAATGTCAAATTGTACATAAGAGCTAAAAAAAGGTCTAACATCTAGTGAAGCGATAGAGAGACGTGAAACGCCCAGCTGATTTTCGAACCGAAAACAGTCTAAAGACACTAAATAAACAAGAAAAATTATTAGAAATTTTGTAGAGCGACTTTTTAAGTTGCTTACAAAGTCTCATTCAAATCGAATTGATTGTTTTCATTTTTATTTATATATTTTTCTCTTGGGATACATTGTGATTTGACACAGTTCAAATATAACTAAAACAAAGGAAGATTTTTTATTGGTTGTAAATTGTAGAAGTGTTAGGCAATTAAATAAAAGAAACGAGTGCAATGTCTGGTGATCACAAAACAATAATCAATGGAAATCCATCACAATATGTTAAACTAAATGTGGGTGGTCATCTATTCCAAACAACGATTGCAACATTGACTTCAAAACCTGATACAATGCTACAGGCAATGTTCAGTGGCCGAATGGAAGTGCTCACCGATTCAGAGGGTAAATTTCATTTTATTAATTGCTATTCATTTCAGTGGACGCAACAAATGAAAAAACAAAAATGTTAAAACACAATGAGTATTATGTTCACAGGTTGGATTATGATTGATCGATGTGGTACACATTTTGCAACAATTTTGAATTATTTGCGAGATAGTAGTGTTTCATTGCCTGAAACACCGAAAGGTGTTGCGGAATTATTGGCCGAAGCGAAATACTATTGCATCACAGAGTTGGCCGATTCGTGTGAACGAGCATTGCAGAAAAAGGAGCCAGAGCCAATTTGCCGTGTGCCATTAATAACATCGCAAAAAGAAGAGCAAATTTTGATTAGCGCATCGACAAAGGTACCTTTTTTTATCGTCTTTTTTTTTTAATTAAATGAATGCCACTTAACACACCATTTCTTTCTTTTCGTTTTCATAAATTTCAGCCTGTGGTCAAACTGTTAATCAATCGACATAATAATAAATATTCGTACACTCATACATCCGATGACAATCTATTGAAAAACATCGAACTATTTGATAAACTATCGCTACGTTTTAGTGGTCGAATTCTATTTGTTAAAGATGTGATTGGTTCGAATGAAATTTGTTGTTGGTCATTTTATGGTAACGGACGTAAAGTGGCCGAAGTATGTTGTACGTCCATTGTATATGCCACCGATAAAAAGCATACAAAAGTCGAATTTCCCGAAGCAAGAATCTATGAAGAAACGCTACAAGTTTTATTATACGAAGATCGAAATGCGCCCGATCAAGAACTGCTGAAGGCAACATCCAGCTATAAACAAGTTGGTGGTGGTGCTGTTGCTGTTGGTGGTATATCGACCTATACCAGCGACGAAGAAGAAGAACGATCCGGTTTGGCGCGGCTGCGACTAAATAAACAGAATACGGGCACATGATTGACCCGACAATTAAGCAATAGCTTTCGGAAAAGATTTTTACCAAAGAAAAAATCACATTAAAACAATTCCAAACATGAGACAAAGAAGGAAGAGAACACACATTTTCGGAAATTGAAAGAAACAAAAATTAGAAGCATTGACGCTCTGGATCGATTGATTTATTTAAATAAAAAATGTTTTCGTATATTGACAATCAGATATTCATACACATACTAAAAAAAGAAGCAGAGATAAGACATTTTTGGTCTTAGATTTCGTGATACAATTTTGTTATTTTTATCACTTAATTTTCATCTCCTTTTCTTATTATCAACGCATTTATCATATTTCTTCGCATCATCAATGCCGTTTTGTTTCGTTTCATTGATGTCAATACATAGTAGTTCTATTTGAAATTCTGATCAATTCTCCAAAAGATTTCATCAAAAAAAAAAACAATACAAAAAAATGAACGTTCTACACAGGCAATTCAAATTGCGCGCAAAGAACATCAACTTAAGTTTTCTTCAGAGTCAAGAATCGATGATAATCACCTAAGATTGGCTTAAAAAAGAACATTTATAAGTTTAATTAATCTGGATAACGACCAAATAGACAAACCGCTTTGGTTTTACTTACATCCTTCACCTGTTTTCATTACGACGTGCTTTTTGCACAAACAAATTTACATTTAAAAAAAAATCAACTATTAAAACGCCAGTATGTGACTGTTAAATAAAAAGAAAAATCTACATTGATTTTATATTTTAAGCAGAATCTAAATCTAAATTCCGAAATTATTGAAAAATACACTCACAAAAAAATGAAATTTCGCAGGGCGAACTATCTAATATTTAGCGGCAAAAATTAAAAACTTTTTGTGATTTAATGAGAAAAAAAATATATATTTGTATTTCGATAATTTTTTTTTTTGATTTTCTTCAAGTATTTGGAGTAAAATCAATTATTTTAACACACTGCCAAAAAGAAATCGTGCGTTATTTTTTGAAGAAATTATCTAAAAATATGTTTATCTAATTTCGGCGACAAAAATGTCTGTTTTTATTATCAAATTATTGAATATTTGGGCTCATCGATTCTACCAATCGATTATTTTATGTAAACAAACAACAAAACTATACCCAATTACCCATCAAACATCGATAATGATTAAAACAAAATTCATTTTTATATAAATATTTCGTAAGATTTTTTTTTCTACGTACGTCCTCTGATTTTGTGTTTTTTTTTTTAAATGGAATATGTCCATAATCGGCAAATGAATTTCAAAAATTGTCATGATTCAGATATCGTGTGATCGGAACAAATTATGTAGATTAAGAGGAAAAATGAAGGTCCATTCTGTGGATGTATTCTACTCCATTTTATTTGTAATTGAATATGAATCATTTATTAAAAATATTGAGATTGACGAAACAAACAGTGCCACTTTTATTTCTTATCAACTTTGAACTTTGACTGCTTTTCGGTAGCATTGTATAATCATTTGAACTCATCACAGTATTCATTTCAAATCATCAATATTTCAACATTTCCCTGAATTTCACGGTGATGCACACATTATTATCTCGTTAACATTTGGTTTTGGTTTAACTAAGTCTATAATTCTTATCTTATGTTATTACATGCTTAACGTTTGCTTAATTTAAATGTGACAATGATGATAATAATATATTTTTCATTGTGAATCGGTTTGATTGAAACTCAATCGTTCTTCGTAAAACTTGATCACGATTTGTGGACATTTTTCATTGGCTTCTTTCGATGGTACCAAATCTGCCTCTTCGATGCCCTTCCATTTTATCAGGAACTCCAATTCGCCCCTTTTAACAGTTGCACCTATGAAACGAAGAGAAAATATAAAAACTCATAAAAAAATACGCATAATGACATAACAAATGTCAATGGACAAGAATTCTTGGAACATGAAAAATTTTGGAATAAACTCGTACACAATGTAAACACTATTGACCAAATTAATATTTACCCAATGATACATCAATCTCTAAGCGAAACCAATAAAATAATCCAAATTGATTGAAATTATTTCTTACCTAGAATTTTTTCGGCTTCCAAACCACGAGCAAAACCTTTTCGACTAGTCATTGTCATAGCTGCATTAATTTTTTGTCTTCCGTTTTTATATTGTTTGTATAAAATAATAAAAATTATGTACACGAATTTAGACAACAAACCAAACGTTGTTACGCTCTATTTCATTCTGTGCTTTGAGTCGATGGCTGTCAACAGTTGTGATTTTGGCGCGCAAAGCATACACGTACGCACACATACACATTTAAACACACAAGCGACAGCAAGTATTTGACAATGTATTCGAAGAATCATTTTAGGACATAAATTATGTTGTATAAAATTGAAAGGACTTTGAGTTCTAGAATAAGCGCCGGACTTTTGAATAAATGAAAACGTGCATTTTTGTATTTTGAAATATATTTATTTAAAAATTACAATCGGCGACAGTGTGTATTGACTGAAATGTTTTAGAATGGTGGTGGTGGAAATCCTTCGGGAAATGCTGGTGGTCGCGGTGGCATTGGCGGAGGTGGGAATGCTTGTCGTGGAAAAGCACCTAAAAATGAATAAGAAATCGAAACAAAAAATGATGAAAAATGACTTTGATGGAAATATACCGATGAAAAGTAATAAATTGAATGTTTACCAGGAGGAGGTGGAAAATTTTGCCATGGCATAGGTGGCATTCTAGCCGGTGGTGCTCCAGGCAATGGCGGTTGTGCGGGCATAATCTATTGATAAAATGATAATTTAAAAATACAATTTATGTATTGAGTGCAATAATAGAGATAGTTTTGAACTGATTTCACATCTTCATTTGATGCTGAAACATTCAAATAAAATCTATAAATTTCGAATTGAATGTATAAGTCTTACCGGTCTTGGTGGCATCGGTGGCGGTGGAATAGTAACTCCAAATTGTGATTGTGGTAGTGGTGCCGGCGGTGGTGGTGGCATCATTGGGTTCATCATCATCGGAACTGGAGCATCAGCAAACAATTGATGTGGTCTGTCGGCATGCGACAATGGATTTTGAGCAGCTAATAAACGTTCGGCAGCCGATCCATGCCGTTCACCCTTTGAATCTTTCTTGAATGCATACGACACCGTAATCGGTCGATTACATAAATATTGTCCATTCATTGCATCCATTGCAGCATCAGATGCTTCGAAACTTGCAAAATTAATGAATGCAAATCCTTTTGAATTACCCGTTTCTGGATCTCTCATAATCTATAAATCAATTTTTTATTCAATGACAATGACATCAATTTGTTTAATCGCAAATTATTTAAATTCCACTTACTTTTGGTGTTTGCAAAATAACTCCAAACGCCGAAAATGTATCGTACAACAGTTTTTCGTCCACTTCGGGATCCAAATTTCCAATAAATATATTTGCACCGACGTCTAAATTCTTTTGATGTGCAGACGCTTTATTCACTCGAATCGGTTTTCCATACAATTTGATCATGTTCATAATTTTTATTCCATAATCAGCATCGTCTTCACTTAAAAACTCCACAAAACCATATCCTTGATGCATTTGTGTCACTCGATCTTTTGGCATATGAACATTAACTAATGAAAATAAAATGAAAATATCATGAATGAACATATCTATACATGTAAATTGTAAGATTTTATTCAAATTTAGACATACCAACTGGACCGGCTTGTACGAACAGCTCCCAGAGTAATGATTCAGTCACCTTATCATCCAGTCCACCAACATAAATTGTGGCATCTAAAAAGAGAATAAATTTTTAATAAACACTTTTTATCATTGTAATCATCGTCTTTATCACAACTATAGAAAGTAGTTTGCCAACGATTTTGGGCTGAATGTGTGGTTGTAAATTTACATTCAAAGTGAGGTTAAGTCATCCAAACTAAATCAAATTTAATGGAACCCTTCATGTTTTTATCGTGTTTTCCATTCAAATATGTTTCTCACGATTAACCGTATTTCGTTTCATTGATCATTTTCTTGAAAGTGTTTTTCAAAAATCATACCTTGATTACGTTCGGCTATTGGACCGGCTGCCATTTTCTAATCTATTTCTGTGTTAACTCCAATAAATGCGTTAAATAGCAAACAATTCAACACTTCATGAATGTTAACAATGTTTTTTTTTTAAATATTCGATAATATTTAGACTACAATTTTAAAATAAAAAGAGTACAACAAACCAAATCTCAAGTTCAAAAGTTGTTTTCAATCGTTCGATCAACAAATCGAATGACAAGTTTTTGTTGTGTTGATGTGTAAACGTTTTGGTAAGTTCTGTCAAATTGTGACAATCGCTTTGGCATTGAGACAAAATAAACAAAATCGTACGTGTGAGTGTATGTATGTATGTGAACAGTGGCGCGCATTCACATTGATATCTATGTACCTGTCAGTCGAACTGCAAGCATCGTCAGTCGTGGTTCAAAGATAAATAGTAACACATACAAAACAAAGACTGTTACACGCGTTTCTATAAAGTGCGTTGCCTAATATCGCATTTTGTGTTTTTTTTATTTTTAAATATAGAGTTTTTGTTTTGAAATAAACCAAAAGTAAAAATAAGCATAAAATGTTGGACGATGATTTTTTCGAATTGGACGAAGATCTACTTAACATAACCGATTTTAATAAAAAAGTTGAAGAAACAGGTAAACAAACGAAACAAATTTTGATTAACGACGCTTGATACAAATCTACCTACATATATGCTATATCATAGAATTGAATTCGAATGAATTTTTGTTGCAGTGAACTATGAAGAGGATATTAGTCAATGTGTACGCTTCCTTAATTGTACCGGCGATGATCAATTAACGAAGCATACATTTCATGAGCAAGGTTTTATCGCAAATGATGAAATAAAATTGATCGAAAGCAATTTCAAAAAGTTTCACAATCAAAAATTATTCGATTTGGAATTTTCGGAAGATGTTTTAACCGATCCAACAATCCTACAGGATTTACTTGGCAAAGCGAGGTATGTTATGTGAGAAAATGACGGCACGAGAGGTGGAGAGGGAGAGAGAGAGAGAGTGGGGGAATCACATATAAAGGAAAACATATGTTCTTTTCTTTCTTTAAGGATGAATGTACAAACGTTAATCGTGTCATCGAGAGAGAATAGTACGTTTGTTACGAAAAAAAGTTATTTTTTAATGCGACAACAAACCTCAACATTTCTCTTTCAACTGCGTCATTTGTTATTCACTGGCCGAATTAAGCATAATATCGTTGAAGATTTATTACGGCCCTTTGCACTATATTTAGAGCAACTGAATGCGCTCCCAATCGTCGATGTATTGCATACCATTTACAGCACACTGGGAAATGAAGTGAGAACCGTATAGCACGACATTAAATGTCAAATCAACTGATTTTTTAATTTAAATTATAAAAATGTGAATTCAATTTTAGTCAACCTCTCCAGCGTATCATTTATTACATGGACACATCGAATGGCGTTGGATTTATTTGACTATTTGTTTACGCATCGAACAAGATAAATTGCATCAAAATCTAATGATCACCGAGAATACGCTTCGAAATACGGAATTTGAAGAGAAACTTCAATTGCTCCTATACGATTTAATGCTCATTTCGGCAGCAAAATTCAACAAAGTAAAAGAATTGAGTTTTTTTCTACAAATTGTTTCTTTCGTTTACTTATCAATTTTTTGCTGTTTTCAGTTACATACTACAGAGTTACCACTAAAAAGCCCATTTACATGCACGTGTATGAAAGAAATATGGTTACTGGTGCAATTACTGATTGAGCGGCTCCATGAAAACGGTCGACAGTTGAATTCGTTTTGGCATTACTTTGAAACAGCGTTAAACTTACATCGTGAACGAAAAAGTACCCAATCTATATGATATTTTATATAGAAACTTTATCACACAAATACCGATTTATTGTTTTTTAGGTCCATACGCTGTAATGAAGCAACCGAGCATTTCACGTGAATTGAACACACTTTTTCTGAATGATTCAACCGTTTTTCCATTGTGGCTATTGAATGGTGTTGCTGTATTACATGGTTTTTCAGAGAATGGCATTTTTCATGGACCAAGCAGTTTACGTGTACGAGAAAATTCAGATTTTCTTGAATCGGTGTTGAAAGCATTTGTTTTGGCCGAACCAAGTGAACAACATTTACGCGTTGCACTTTTAATCGTCAATTCATTGATCAATTGGTGGCCACACAAATCCGAATTGATTATGACATTTTGGGAATATTTTCATAAAAAATTAAATTCATCGTTTTATCTGAATGGAACAACACCGGCTGCTTTGGCGGTCATCGGGTGAGTTGAATTATATCAATTTTTTCTGTTGTTAAAATTTCACTGTAAATTAATGCCATTAATTTTTCTTCGGAGTAGAAAAACTGCCACGGAATATTTGGAGCAAGTACAAAAATTGATAAATAATGAAAATATCACGGCAGACATGAGCAGTTATACAATTTTTATGAATTTGATGAGTGAAGTACTGAAACGTTTAGTTCAACAGGAATCCAGAAATCAAATTATGAAAATTATTGGTAAAATATCTATCATTTATTTGGCATAAAATGAACAATTATTAATATATAATTCGTATCTCGTACATTTAGGACGAATTTTCATTAAATTCGGAGAATCAAAGCTATACGCACTGACTGAAGTTGGTATTCATAATTTACTTACATTGTTTTTGATTTTGGCATCAGTCGTTGGAGTTAAAGAAATTGTATGGCTTGTGTTATTTTCTTTGCCACCCATTTAATATACTTCAACTTAATAATCGAATAATTTTGACAGGGACAACGTTTATACTCGATCGTACTGCAACTGAGATTGGAAAAATTATCGGCACCGCGTCAATGTTGTGTGATGAAAGGTCATATGGCACTTTTAATTTTATATTCAAATCAAGAGATGAATATGCAAAACTATGTGAACCGTCTTCTAGAACAAGTCAATAAATTGAATTCAGACGAAAATAAATTGCCCGTTCTTCGTATCATGATCGATGGATTAGAACGTATTTATAAGAAATCCGATATTTTTGCAATGGACGAATACATGCTATTTGGTGAGAGGTTTATTTTCGTTTTTAATTTGTATTTTTCGTATCATTCTAAAACACTTTTTTTTTATTAATTATTGATTAGATTCATGGATCATCGAATATTTATCACGGTGTTCACAATCTGAACAAGAAAAATGTCTGCAATTCATCAATAAGATGTTTGTACGGATGATGGAACATAAACTACAATACTCCGAACAACATGAGAAAGTGATAAATATCTTGTACAGAAATATTTTGCCATTTGTGAAACAAATCTATCGTCAGAGTAAAGTATATGGTGGTGTACCGGATATTGCAGCAACATTTTGCATTCATGCCAATGGTAACAATGGTTTGGCTAATTTTCAAGATCTCTTCAATCATTTTACCGAAGCCAATTGCTGTGATATTCAGTAAGAGAAAAAATAAATCCACATTTTATTCATTCTTCGATACTCAAAAAGATTAAATCATTTTCAGGACAACTACCAAATTTCTAGTGAACATATTGACTGATGAGTTTATTGATAGAATCGAACAAATCACAATTCTACGATTATGGATAAAATGCTCAATCCTGTCACAAAATCAAAATGAGGTAAATCATTTCGTCGATGATCAATCGTTTTAATATCTGAATTATTTACATTTTATTTACGCTAATTATTCAGGATGTACGTCAGTTGACTAAAATTGTGTGTACTCTATCGAGTTTTAAATTGTTGTGTAAAGCCACCGAAACGGAACTGTTGAGTGCCAAAGAGCCATTGAACATATTCTTTGCACATTGTGGTGAATCTTATACAGATGCCGATACACAAGATTCAACGAAAAAAGAAATTGCTAGTCATGTACAAGCAATTTTAACTGGCTTCGAAAAATGGGTGCCAATGTCGGAATCACCTCCGATTATTAACAAAATACATATCGCTATTGGATTAATCATTTTGTATTGTTCGCCAATTGTTTATGTTCGGGTAAATCACAAGAGTCTATCCCACCGCATAGAATTTCTAATGAATTTTTTACACATTTCCATTACAGTCAAAGCCGACATGTTTCTTTTCTGTGATAATGGACCATTATATATTGCCGTTGCCGTTGTTGATGGGAAAACCCCAGAAAATCATTTCCATTCAAGCTGTCCACAAAGTATGGCATTTGATTGTTGGTGGCATTGAAAAATTGGACTATAAATCAGATGCTCAACTAGAAAAAGTATTAACCGATTTAATTGTTAAATGGATACCACAATTTCGACTGGTACGATGAAAAACCCATTGAAAATCAACTAATATCCCACTGTAAAATTCTATAATTTTTTTTTTTTAAATTCCAATTTAGCATCCAAATCAACGAGCAATTTCAAAGCCGTTTGTGATATCTGCTCGTCAATTTAAATCATCGACCTTACAATTCATCCTAGAAAAAATGATCAATAATTTTTTGTCGGCACAACGACGCGAGATTCATCAAAATGCACCAATCGTTGTCAATATTTTAAGTGAAATCTTGGGCGATGCATCCAATGAAACTGAAATTGTTCGTGTATTATTGAATACCACAATTATCACATTATATGAACATGCAATGATGGTAGATGAAAATCTACCGAGTCGAACAATGATTTTTGACTTTTTTGGTGCGTTATTCAAATCGCCAGCCTATCTCTCTTCACTGGAAATTCGGTAATTTCATATAAATCACTAATATATACACGGGTCTGTGAATTTGTCTTTTTTTTTTGTTATTTACAGAACAATTGTTACATCGAATCTCAAGACATTAACGACCAAGAATCTTTCATACTATGCAACGTTTTTCTTTCAATTCATGCAAAAATTGGCCCGAATCAATTCAAGATGTGTAGCTGAGGTATTGCCCCATATTAAAGAACAAGTTGAGCATGTGGTAAGTTTTCGAATGATAATTTAATGAAGAAAAATTGCTTGAATAAAGTGTGAATTTTTTTGTAGGAAAATCTGCGACAGGCCGGAATGGATGCTAGGCTAAGGTAAATTTTTTAAGGATTTTTTACCATAGCAATTTCCCGATTATTAATGTTGTTCCCATTTTTTCTATTAAAGAAACTTACTGAGACAGCTGGAAGATGTTGTGAGACCAAGATAAATCGAGTTCAATTTTTATAAAAAAAAATTGGAAATTTTTGAGACTATATATATTTGATTTAATGTTTAACAAAGTCGTTTGCAAACACAAAAAATAAAATAAAAACCAAATTCCAGTCAGCTATGTATGAATAACGATTTTCATTTTGTCCCAAATTGTGCCAGGCGGCAATTATGTTCGATTTTGTCACACACACATACGCACACAAGTCAAACGTCAAACGCATACCCACTTCGATTTTATACGAATGTGGTGAAGAATTTGAAAGTTTTTTTATTTGTATGCGTAGTAATATATATTGTGTTTTTTTATCAAAAGAGAGCCGAATTATTTGTGTTGAGTGATTTCATTGGAGCACAAAATTGAATTTTTGTATTTTTTTCGCCCAAATTTGTTTAGATTTGTTTTCATCTTTTGTTTAATTGCTACTTATTTAATCTGCCAAATCAATTTTTTTCTAGCTTCTTACAAAATAATTTCAAAGAGAGCTTCAGATTAAATACAACTGTATTCAAGTCAGTTAGACTTTGTAACAATTACTTTCAATCACTAGAAAATTTAATTTCAAATTTTTGAAGATAAAAAAGCGAGCATAAGATGTCGGCTATAACAAAAGGTGTGTAATTTTATTTGATAAAATATGCCGGTGATATCATGTAGATAGCATGAATTGACAAATTCAATGCAAATATAATCAACACTTCAACAAGTTTTGTAGCAAACAAAATTTGAACTTTGATCGGTGCGGTATCTCTCATTGAATGTGACTTTTTGAAAATAAAATCTGACAGTGACTTTGAATGATAATATGAAAAACATAAGATTGATTATATTTTTTAAAGAATTTTTTCACCGTTTTTTTTTAATGTTTTTCAAATTTACAATGATTTTCTTTGGCGAAAGGTGTTTTCATTGTTGGAGCAAAACGAACTGCCTTTGGTACGTTTGGTGGAACATTTAAAAATGTAACTGGAACCCAATTACAGGTGCATGCATGCAAAGCAACACTTGAAGCAGCTGGCGTCCGGGCCGATCAAGTTGATTCAGTGATCATTGGCAATGTTTTGGTCGTATGTAGAATTGTTCCACTTTTATTTCTTTCACGACTTTTCATAATAAACATGATATTGAAAATGGCTATAATTTGATTTTAGTCATCACAATCGGATGGAATCTACCTGCCACGTCATACATCATTATTGTGTGGTGTTCCAATTGATCGTCCGGCATTAGGTGTGAATCGTTTGTGTGGTTCCGGGTTTCAGTCGATTGTAAATGGTGCCCAAGATATTATCCTTGGCGCAGCCAAAATTGCTCTTACAGGTGGCGTTGATAATATGACACAAGCGCCGTTCATTGTACGTAATGTACGTTTTGGTGCGGCTCTAGGTGTTCCCAATGCATTTGAAGACAGTCTCTGGGTAAATAATTCATTTTTAGATGATGTAAATAAATCTAATTTATCTATTTGTAACACATTTATTTTCGATGAATTTAGGCTGGTTTAACAGACTCCTACTGCAAATTCCCAATGGCTATAACTGCCGAAAATCTGGCAGTTAAACACAAAATTTCTCGTGATAAAGTTGATGAGTTTGCATTGCGTTCGCAAAGACTATGGAAAGAAGCAAACGATCAAGGTGTTTTCAAGACCGAAATTGCACCATTCCCAGTAAAGGTCAAAGGAAAAGAAGTTGCGTTCGCTGTCGATGAACATCCAAAGTAAGTTTTCGAATGAAAATTAAATGAAAATCAATCAATTTTATTTGTTTTTTTTTTTCATAGACCTCAAGCCACCGTTGAAGGTCTTGCAAAATTGAAACCAGTATTTAAAAAGGATGGTGTTGTAACTGCTGGAAATGCTTCTGGCATTTGTGATGGTGCTGCATCGGTTTTGGTTGCATCTGAAGAGGCTGTAACAGCAAACAATCTTAAACCATTGGCCCGATTAGTTGCATACTCAACCGTTGGTGTACCACCAGAAATTATGGGCATTGGTCCAGGTATGTACAAAATGATGGACGGACAACTGATCTTGAATACAAATAATTTATAAATTTCTTCGTTTTATTACAGTTCCTGCCATTCAAAATGTGCTCAAAGTAGCTGGATTGACATTGAATGATATTGATTTGGTTGAAGTGAGTAGATTTCTTATACGATTAACATTCATAATTAAACAACACTCAATTTATCAATTTGTATTTAGATCAATGAAGCATTCAGTGTACAAACACTGGCCTGTGCCGAGTCACTTGATTTAGACATCAATAAATTAAATGTAAATGGAGGTGCAATCGCTCTTGGTCATCCGCTAGCCGCTTCTGGCTCAAGAATAACTGGTCACTTAGTGCATGAATTGAAGTAAGCCATTGTCACTCATTTATAACGAAAGCATGCATTTTATACATTCTCTTTATTCTACACAGGCGCAAAGGATTGAAACGAGCTGTTGGTGCGGCTTGTATTGGTGGCGGACAAGGCATTGCAGTTCTTCTTGAAGCTGTTTAATTTCATGCCAAATCCAATTCTATTTTGTTACAGAGAAAATGAATAAATAAATAAAAAAAATCTTCTTAATTGATTAATTGTTGGAATAAAAACTGAAAAAAGTTTTAAACATATTTCATTTTCAAATTTTGATGGCCTTTGGAATCTTTACTCCTTTCAACAGTCACTCAGACTTTTTAGAAACCAAGACGTTACTTACAATACGCATTTACGACATTCTTTATCAAATTCATTGGCAAATAATGATTAGCGATTATGAATCAATGAACATTAAATTCCATCTCTCAATCAACTGATAACAAATGAAATACCACTTTGAAATTGACTCTATTACTATTCAACGTTAAACAACGTCATACGTTTGAACTCTTCAAAGTGAGTCAAACAAATGAGACTCACAGTAATTGCAATGAGTTATTTTTCAAGTTCAAAGCAATAGACATTTTATTTAAGTTTTAAAATAATTTATTTATTTATTAAAGGAAAATCCATGTCATTGTTGAAAACGGCTTAAAAATTTCTATGGCCAACGCCATAATCCATAAGCACAATCGCATACTTAAAATAGAATTACTCGTTATTTTATACATTTTCTTCTTTCGTTGTACGTTTTATATTCTATGAATTTATTGCTTTTTACTATGCTCGAATACATTCAAATTGCATACATTCTCCTATGCATGAATACATCATTGCAGTTTAGTATCGATTCTACCTGAATGCAAACATTTTATGAAAGAGAAAACTAGAACTGAACTGTCTCTTTTCAGTGTTCATCGCGGTACTGGTTAGTTGTATTATTTTAAGAGTAGCAACGTTGCGTCTTCATCATCGTCGATTGAGTGAAATGGTTTTGACGCTCTTTCTAATCATTTTATTAACCACACTATTTTCTATCAACAAAACCATAATTAAGTGTTGGCACTTTTTATATGTTTGCTCCGGTTGTTTCAAATATGATTTGTTAATTGATAGTTCATATACGGTTTGATAATAATTATTTATAAAAACGTTCTCATTTTATAATATATAATTAAAGCGTAAACTGATTTAAAGCCACACATTGATCAGAGATGCAATTGAAAATCTCAATAAAAAGGAACGTTGCCGTTCAAGAAACAACCTTTTTCTCATTTAATTGTAGCTTTTACGATTCTACATTACTATAGAAATTTCATGCCGTCCACCGTTTTGATTAAGTTCTGTCAATTTAACGTTTTCGCAGGACAATTATTCATAATTTCTACTTGGATAAATTCACAGGCGAGATTTTTTTACGAAACTCTTTTACAAAAAAAAAAAAAAAAAAAAATGAAAATATTTCGTCACTGTGACTGTGAATTTGAATATAACAATCTTAAGAGCTTAATTGATAACAGGAAACAGTGCTAATTTTCGTTGTCGATTGGTTTGTATTCTTGTAAGTATCCACTTGTTAATGGATCATATGGATCATTGGTACCTGTATTCTATTGACTTAAACAAAACTGCAAAAATAGTCTAATTTGTAAAAAATATGTTCTTGTACTGTATAAAACATGTATTGTGTTGAACTTTTATCATTGTATTGTATTGTTGTTGTTGTTAAAATGCATTTAAATACAACAATGTTTGCACCATAAAAATCGGCAGAATAATGGGAAACTTCAATCGCCAATGTACATATAAGGTGTGAGTAAAAGTTAAAAAGTATTTGTCGTTGGTGTTCACGCTAAATAGCGGCAAAACAACTAAACAACAACAAAAAAATCACTCTCTTATACGCATTAAATTTTCCTTTTGTTACATATATTGTGTTGTCACTAACGTTTGTGCCTTAAAATTTGTGTAGTCGACAACCACAATTCTCTATAATTTTCTTCTCGTGTCTTCTAGCGCTTCATCGTACGTTCTATTGCTTTATTGGTTTTCTGTTCAAATGCACTCGAACCTTGTACACGTCCGACGTGTGAGTATACACACTCACATAAGTCTTTTTCTGCACAAATGTACATTGCCGTTTGATCGGTTCTACCTGAGCGCAAACCATCATTTCCATGAAAGAGAAAATTAAATGTATTAGAATCCGACGTCTCATTCTTGCCGCAGTGCCTCATCCTTTATCTCTCTGTTCTACTTTGTCATATGATTTTAAACGGCAGCATTTTAAAGTCGTCGTCGCATGCATCTAACAGAGATGTATATGCTCTTCCGTACATTCACAGGTTTTCTTTTGCACCAAATGAAGTAAAAAAAAAGAAGAAGAAAAAGAATCTCTTTACACTCTCTTTCTGCATTTTTAACGCTCATTGAGCTGTTCTCTTTACTCTCTGTACCAGTAGAATACATTTTTTTTTCTGCTTGAATATCATCACCAACCAACATACATGCGACTTTCTTTGGAAACATTATTGACTTTCACGTTTTATTGATTGGCTCAAAGACTTGTAAATAAGCTGGCACCTGAATTCGAATCGGATCGACTACTGTAACCGTGGAATCTTCTCTTTTTGTTTAAAACAATTTGATATATATTTAAATTTTTGCATTTTGTTACATTTCAATGTGGAAAAAAAAAGAAAAATGTCAGGAATATGTGTACGCTGTTTATTCTCTTGAAGATCTTTTCACATCCAGCGAATCATTAAATTTCACTTGGTGTTCATGATGGCAATATTCGAAATGGCATTTAAACGTGAAATGGTAGAAAATTTCTAATCGCAAGATCGCTGATATTGAGTGACGAGAACGAGTCGATTGTAAATAAATCGAGTTCTTTCGCAAGGTCAAACACAGTTTCTTTGGACGCGCATCGAAGAAACACACTCACACATTTTATTCTCATCTCGTGTAAACAAAGTACATTGGCTTTGTGGCATTCGATCTTTTTATGCTTTGCACAATTTTTCACTCATCTCATGTGGAGTGAGAGAGAGAGAGAGAGAGAGTCGAGAGCGAATAGATGTGCAGTAAACGGTCATTCAGAGCTTCAAAAATCACACTCAATCGCAGAATTGCCGGAAAGATGAATTGAATGTTATTTGAAAATCAATTATTTTACATAAATTTCTACCACAAAATGTCACTGTTAAGGATCATTCCGTCTCTCTTCTCATTTCAATGTTGTCTTGTCGCTTTGGCACGTTTAACATCTGTTTTTTTTTCTGTGCTGTTGCGCACACATATATTCATGTTTGTGAGCGCATCGAGTGATATTTTTTTTCGGAACCGGCTTAAGACAGTTTGTTGCGTAGGCAGAGTGAACATTTCTGGACAGTTTGGTTTCGTACTCTTCGCGTGTGCAATACATATATCCAAACCGTTGTATCGATCGTATGAGCGTGCGTTGAGTTTGAGTTAAAAAAAAGAAGTCAATGTTGAGTGATTTGTTGAGTTGCGACTCGAAACGAACTATTGCTCGAGCAGACGCTGATATTGTGTACCGATGATCGTTCACCGCAAACAACCACTGACTCAGTATTCTGTTGCGCTTTCGTCGCTTAAGTTCAGTTTTTAAACGAGAGACGGTGCTTCGTTTTGTTTTTCCTTTTCTGTTTATTTTTTACTTTGCAGAGTTTTGATTCTATCTTTCATTATTTTTTTTTAATTTTTGATACGGTAAATATTTTATTATTATTCAGTACTTCACTGAAAATCAAATCATAAAATTATAAATGCATCGGCATTCAAAGTATATTTGAACGATGTGCGTGTATGGCAATTAAAACGGTTACATTTACGAAGAAAGAGTTTGAAATCAGTCCGTGTTGCATGCATCGCGCGTTATCAGATAAATGTGACAGTTAATCAGTAATTTATCATTTGAATTTTATTCTTCTTCTTTTTTTTCACCTATAAAAAGTGTATGTGTGTGCTTGTGCAACTCACCCGAACCACGATAAAAAAAAGTGTTTGTGTGCAATTTTCCAAATCAAATCAATTCGGTCAAAGAATTTAGAACACTTTTAACAAAAATACAGTGATCAATGACGCGATCAATAAGTTTAAGTGAACAAAAAGCAAAAATGAATGTGTGTTTCAATTGACTTCATTCAATAAAGTCGATATCATGTCAAATCGTCATAAAAGCTAGGAGTTTTGAGCAAAAAAAAAAAATTCGAATCTAAGCGAACAAAAAAAAGCAAAAAAAAAATTATCTAATCTTTTTTCTTCGTCGGTGTGCAAAACGTCACCTAATGTTCGAAGTTCAAAGAACATCAATAAAAAAAAGGTGTTGTGAATTTTTTTGGAAAACAAAAAATGCCGATGAAAAAGGTTTTTTGTTTTTGAAAATGAAATTTGAGCCTGTTGGTGAGAGAACCTATAAACCAAAAAGGATTCGAAAAGATTGCGAAACAAAAGCAGGCAACTACAATTTGCAAAAACCATTCATGTTTTCTGCCAAAAATAAAATCATAAATATTTTTTTACGGAAATGTTTTATGATATCTGTTCTTGCATTTCGTAACTCTTTGCACATGTCATATAAATGTTTGTGCAATATATATTGTAAAAATGTTTGCCATTTTTCATCCCAACTAAGACCTGTGCGAGTGTGACTGTGTATGTGTGTGTTCAAAGGAGTTCTCTGTGTCTTTTCAAATAGTTGCTGTACGGCAAGAGAATGCAAAAAAAACGTGCAAAAACTGCACGTCAAATGGATACAAAGTAAACTATAAGAAAACTACAGTTCAATACATAAATACAAAATTTAAGCATTCGTATATATTTTTTTCGTTCTTTAACAATACTGAGTGAGCAAATCAGCCAAACGTACCAACAAAAACTGCAAAAGTAAAAAAAACCGAGGCGAAAAAATAGGAAAAAATGGTCTGTTTAACTCGTTTCATTTCGTTGCCTTCGTGTGCATTTCTTTGAAAACTTATGGTGGCTGCTGCTGTATTTTATATATGTATTTTACCTTCATATGTACTTGTTGTATTCGCTACTTTTTTTCGCGTATTTTGTTGTATCGTTTTTGATTGTCGTCATTGTCAGTACGGTATATGTATGTGAATCGAAACGCTCACACAGTCAGTTCTCTTGAGCGCTCTTGTTGGCTCGTCTGGCTCATTCAGTGTCGACGTTGTTCGAAAAACGTTCTTGATAATAGATTTTGATGCTCCGCTACTTTTAGAACCTTACTCATGTTAAATGAATTAGTCCGATGGGAAATTAAGACTTTTTTTTTATTTCCATTATTGTGGTTTTTGCTCTTTCTATGCATGGTTTGCTTCTGTTTATCGAAGCACAGTTTCGATATATACAATTTTTGCAACCAAGAAAGTGAACCTCTGACATTCATGGAAAAAGTAAGCAAAAGCAAAAGTAGTGAAAAACGACTGCATTTCTGATAACAAACAAAAAATTGTACTGGCGCGCAATGTGTGTATGTGTCTAAGCGCTCGCGCGCGAGCATCTTTTTTCTTTGCAATATTTCCTTATTCAATTTATATCATCGCCGCTTTTCTAAGCAATTTGCATTAGTCTTGTTTTTGTCCACATTCATCTCGTTTTCAGTTTTATGTACAAACTATACACACATATAAAGGTATACATACCGAAGAGTTCTTATTCAAAATAATAACGAAAATTGATTTAAATTTTTCACAAGAGAATGTTGTTGTTGTGTGTGTGTGCCTGTTTTTCATTATTATGCAAAACAATGTTAGAGAGGTCAGTTGAAGCAAGATGTTTTATCGTTGCTCAATAAGCAGAGAGTTGTTTAGAGGTTGCAAATATAGAAGTTGAATCGTGATAGCGAGAAGGAAAAAAAAGTGAATCATTCCATGCGCACATCGGACAATATAACAACATCACCATCACCACCAACAACAAATAAGCCCAACGAAATGAAATCTAAAGCTGTTTTCATGTCCAAAATAAATTTACTATATTACTTTAAATGTGTTTTTTTCATGTGTTTGTGTACATCGAAAGATCCATTTAAGCAGCTGTAGTTAGAAGTGAGCACACATTACGGAATTGAATATATATTATATTTATACTCAAACACTTACGTCACATACGATTTATCGACACTATACTCTTTCGAGATTTTACGAACGCGTAAATAATATGCAAAAAGGTGCTGATTCGAAAGGTGTAAAGCCAATTCGAAGTTCGAGTGAATATAATGCATCCAACGCACATCTATTCTAGTGAAATCTCTGCATTGCGCTCGCCCATCTGACCAGCAACAATAACAAAAAGAACAACACACACACACACAAGTACCAAAATGGTATCGACCAGTGGTGAAAAAAAGAAATTGTGGTCGCCCATATCAGCGATGACAAAATATTTTACTATTCAACGAATTATGAGTATCACTGTGTTGCATTCTGGCACGGTGTGCGCATGGAATTTATGTAATCTGATCTTGGACATAGAGCGCTAGCGAAACAAACATTTTTATTGTTTAAGGAAGTACACACACCAAAATGAATTCACATTGCACACTGTGAATGACCTCAGTATTTTAAAGCATTGCACCATTATCGTCATCTGATTTCCCCGTGCATCGTTGTTACTAAACGTATATAAATATTATATACAATGCCGAACAATCGGTCTTCGCACTAGTCGCGCTCATTTGTTGTGTGCAGCGTAATACGGCTAAGAACAGTATTTTAAGATAGAGAGGCAAGAAGAGAGCTGTCGACAGCGCGGGAAAAGGATCGAATCGTGATGCAATTCTTTATCGCATTCAAGTATTACCTTTTTCTTCTTCTTTTCGTCTTCTCATGTGTGTGTGTGTGTGTGTACTGTGACTCTCACTGTGCCGCTCTTTTCTTCCCCCTTTTTTGCACTTCTTCGCATATTCTAATTATATGATTTAAAATAATTTTACTTCTTCGTTGACCGTTGAAGTCGAAATATTTATTCAAATTTTGAAGAGAGCAACATTCGATAGTGCCAAAGTGATTGTGAAACGGTCTGCATTGCATTTATCTTTAATTTCTGCAAATACTATTTAGCAAACAGTATAAATCATTTAATTATTATTTAAAATGTTTCAATCTTCTGACTGCTCGTTTGGCTCACACGAATTTTAACACTTGAACCAAATGATAAAGAATCAGAGTTCGAAAAGTTTTCTATAATAATGTAAATATTTCAAGTAGCTCCTAGATACTGGACGTATTATTGAACATCACAATGATGAATCCATCGAAAATAGACAAAACATCAAGGTCTTGAATACACACGATTAAAATATTATTATTTGTTTTTTGTGTTTTTTTCTCTTCCTTCAAGTATTTACTTTGTTTCTTGGTTCAACTCTTGTCAATTGCTTGGTGATGGCGTATTTAACGGTTAGCTCCTTTCAATGTACACTTAAAAAGAGAACTGAAAACATATGTAAACATTTAAATTAATTTTCGGTTTTGTTTTATTGAACTACCATCAGTGTTCGTTGCTCCCTTTTCCTCTCTATCTATCTATCTATCTCTCTCTCTCTCTCTCTCTCTCTCTCTCTCTCTCTCTCTCTCTCTCTTTCTTTTTCATTTATATTGAATCGGTGAATTTATCAGTTAAACGGACACAAATCCAAAATATCGCGCTCGAAATAAAAATGAGTGCTTAAAAGGTGCACACTAGTTAACGCGACATACACACCCTCCCATTGCACCTTCATCTTTGTTTTCTTTAATTCTCCGTCTGCTCTTCTCATTATTTTTCTTCTTCGTTTTGATGAGTGCTTATAGAGCGATATTTTCTTATGCTCTGTCAAGTTCAATGATTCTTCTCGCTGTTTTAAATTCCTTTTTCAATCACACTTGATATTTGGTTGTGTTGCTGTTGACTTTTTGCACTCATTGCGTGCGCGCATTCACATAATCAAATTTGAAATGATCGCGATGCTTACATAAACAGATTTGGGAGAGAGAAAAAAACGAAATGAGCATTACGACAAAGAGAAATCAAAGCGCATACAACGAAACATTTGCTAATCGGCTTGCTTTCCGGTTTATGAACCACACACCAGCAAGCACTGATAATCAGCTATTCAAGATGATGTCCAAAAATGTGTCCATATCAATGAGGCAGAAGAAAGAAAGAAATAAAAAAAACGTGTATGCGCTCAAGTTCTGAGAGCGGTAAATGTCTAATATGTTGTTGAAGTTAAATCAAATTACTGAAAACCGCATAAATGTTTGACATATTTTTTTCCGTTGAAATGTATATATCAAACGAGTATAACTGCTCTTGTCACTTTGTGCGCTATTAAATTAAATTTGTTTTGCAAAACAACACACATTGTGTTTTTGAACTTTTGATAGCACGGAAATGTGTGCGGCTCTCTCAAAATTTCGCCATAATTTTTCGAAGTCAACGACGATGACAAAAAAAAAACCTTTAATTTTTTAATTTATGTCGTTTTAAGGCGAGATTTGGAATTTCTTTCCGTTTTCACTTGGAAATAACATGATATTTGATGGTTTATGACCGCTTTTTATCGTTTTCTTGGTTTTCAAGCGCAAAATTATTCCATTTTTATGATTTTTTTCTCTCTCTTTGTCGCGTACAGGAACGAACCGTAAGCAAACGAACAACAAAAATTGAAAATATCTGTATAGAGAGAGAGAGAGAGAAATATAGAAAAATGTCACCAACCATGGATGGTTTCGGCATTGCATATTTTTGCCATTTTCGTTAAGCTTTAATCGGTCGGTGTTCACCTGTATGTTTGACAACATCAAATGTCGAATACATTAAAAATCGATTGATATTATTATTAAAATTTCAGTGATACAAAATGAATCAACCGAAAATTACTGCCAATTTTCCAATTACCGTTTGCTGTTTTAAATTAAACAGTTTCCATCTCTGTTCACCTCTCTTTCTCTCCTTTTCACCGTCTCTTCAGCAATTTGTTTGCTAAGCAATTGTTTGTTGCTTGTCTTAGAGGTAATCAGTGAGTGAATGTTTGATTGCATACCATTGTAGATGTTGTGTAATATTTTTTGGTGGAGGCTTTCTTTACATTAATCATTTTTGTTTTTAAAAAAAAAGAGAGAATCATAAAACTCATTGCACTTTGATTCAAGACTTTAAAAACTTTTTTTTTTGCATTTATCGCTTTGGATTCGGATGTATTTGTTTTATGCTTGAAAACTTGTTTCTACAGTTAATTGAACTGGAATTTTCGATAAAAATTGTATGTGTGAGTGTGTTTGTTCATTTACCGAATACGATCATAAAACGTTTTGTGAGGTTCGATTTAGCAAAACAGTAAAATAATAATAAACAAATTACACTTTTCTTTATAGACACGTGTGTATGTATGTGTGTAATTAATGATTTTATGGAAGAATCTAAACCGTTGATTTGATTGAAGCAACATTGGATGAAAGCAAAGGTGCATCGTGCGTAGTTTGACATTCTGGATATTTCGTAGGATAAACTAAAACTTTACTTATGAAAAATTCATGTTAATCAAACTGCGATATCAAACTAACCAAACTGATTTGATTCACTGCTAAATCGACTTGATGAGATGAAGCATATTAAATGATAAAAAAAATACATATATATATACAGATATTATTTATTAAAAACTTGGCCATGCTGTGAGAGTAGTTATTTACATTGTATTCTGTTTACGAAGTAAATGTGATATAATTCATGGAATATGATTAAAAATAGAGTTTGAGTAGCGAACACAACGGATTTTTTATATTGATTCTTACGGACTTTTAGCAGATTAATAGATTTAGACTATGATTTACAATGAAAAGCCGAATTGAACAACAACACAGCTAAGCAAAATTCGCAATTAACCCATAAAAGAAAAATAAACATATGGTGAATGTATGCGGGGCTCTCACGCAGGTCATTAAACAAACATGCAGTAGTACCATCGGTCCAATAAATTTCAAAATAATAGCGCAAAGCGCGAGTTACGCGCGCGCCAAAAAATCAACAACACCAACTTATACACACTTATAAGCATAATGCATTGAAATTGAAGAAGAAAACAAAAATGAAAGGCAAGAATTTGTGTATTGTAACGCTGATTAAAAAAAAAGTAAAATGAACAAAAGCTGGCTACCGTAAACCACCATAGACTGAATGATAATCAATGAAAATGACGAGGGAAATAATGTGTATAAGTTGATTTTTTTTTCTTGTAAATGCCGAATATTTTCTATTTTTGGAGCTGGAGAAGACGTGATTTTGTTAACAGTTACTTTTGATCCGTTTTTCCTACTCTACATAATATAAGCTCGTAGATTGAGGTTTTTTTTTTCACAAATTATATTGAAAATCGATAAGCTCACATATAGGCTATAGTAGCTCAGTGAGTGAAAATGACTCGCACGTCCGATCTCATTAAGTTATATTTTTTGAGTGAGTACCGTGTCTTGTAAAGAGAGCGCCATTGGAAATTGTACACACACAAATACTTTGAGTAACGCACATTTTTTGCCACTACAATTGAAACATTCTAATGAAATTTATAATAATGGTCGATCTGCACAATCGCACACATCTCGTCACAATCGCACACATCGTTAGTTTTAATTTCGTTGAATTTTTTTTTATTCGTCTTCTATAAAGTTACGTGAAGATCAACATACGTGTCATAAGTTCAGTAAATGTGAAAAACAAGAAGAAGAAGAAGCCGAAAAAGTTACAATCGAGCGTCGAGGATGAGTCGTTAATGAAAATGAAAGGAAAACTGAAATGAGAACAAATTGTTGGTGAAAATTCAAACGTGATATTACGCTCAATTTCGCTTTCATTTTTGTGCAAATAAATCATTGAGTGTGAAAAATAAAAAAAAATACAAAAAAAAAGTGAGAGAGATTACGTGCAAAAGAGAAAAAAAATAGTAGAGAAAAATTTCGTTATTGAATGAACCGAAATGTTGTATTTTTATCGCTTTTTTGACTACATACTATGATCGATTTGATCAACAAGTTTTGGCGAATGCAAGCAAGTATGACAATCATCGGAATATTGTGAAGAGAAAAGAAAAACTTTGCATTAAAAACAAGAGAACTTTGAAAAAAGAGACAGAACGCGTGCTGCATTTTTGCATCCATAAAAAAACAAACCAAAAAAGCCACACTTTCATTTTAAACATTCTACATCAGTGAAGCAAGCGTCTGTAAAAAAATTTTCTCTCTATCAAATGGTTAAGAGTGAGATTGACACTTCGTATTGAAAATTTGTGATGGGCTACCGTTTGGTATTGCATTCGCATAGCAAAGAAAACGTTGACCGCTGTTCGTCGTTTTCATTCGAATAAAAATCAAATCGAATCTTGATCGGATACCAAACGCATTATTGGTTTACATCAATTGTATATGCGTGTGAGTGTGTCCTTCATCTCTGCACGCATCGTGTGTTTGCCGTTGAACAGTTTGTCGGCTGCGCTCCAGTAAATTCTCTGGCATCAATGGACTCATCACCGTCAAATTCCAGTTTCTTGCTTCGAAAATCATATTTAAACAGTGATGTGATTGGCGACTTCAGTACAACTTCAATAGCTGGCTCCATACAGGTTTGTTTTTCATTTACATTTAGTTTTGTTGTTTGTGTTTATTTTTTTCTTCCAAGATTTTCTTTTGATGTTGCTGGAATTGTGGTTGTTCCTTTCTTCTTTTTAATTTTATACAATTTTTTTTCTCTTCTTTAATATGTTGATCTTTGCGCGCTTTACCACAAAACGATCACATCTTGAATACGCGCATTGAAAATAAAACGATGAGAGAAAGAGGTGCGCGAAGCGAGAAAGAAAGAGCAATATAAACTCCCACAGGGCAAAATGATTAGATAGAGAACTGATTGTATTTTATAAATTTACACACAGCAATGTACACACAACTCAAGGCCAATGGAATTGGATATTCTCTATAGAATTTTCATATATTTCCTATGCCACGATCATTTTTATTAGTATAAATAAACTTCATTTTGCTCGTCTATTTCAAGCGTGATTGTCTTCATTGCGCGTGAGCGCGCATACATTGCGTCGACATATCGATCGATCTGTGAATCAAAAGATTGTGTGTTTCAAAGAGCGACGTACTCTCTCAATGATTCCGAAATTTGTGTCATGCGTGTCCATATCGCCATGTCCATAATATCATATTTATTTAGTTGTTGTTGTTATTTTTTTTTAATTCCTTTCTCGCTTCACAATTTTCAAAAATCATTTTTCATTTTCTGTAACGATGTGATATGTGATAGATGCTATATGCGCTACGTCATAAAAATCATAAATCGAAAAATCAATTTGATTCTTCTAAAATCAAACAGAAATACAGAAAACAAACACAGACAACTCAAAGACTTGGAGAATCGAGATTCAAAGAAAATGCACGATTTCAAAGAAATCAAAATGACTGAAATGCTTTCAAGTCGTTCACTCAATCGAAAATCGTTATCTCCGTTTCATCTTCATTTCATGATCATTCTTTCAGTGGATGATATTCGTTCGGCGAACATCAATTTTCTTGCAGCTATTAGACAATTCGATTTTTATTGACGTGTGTTTCAAGTCATGTCACATAGCCGGCGAAGAGTTTTTCGAAATGAGATTGGTCGTGAATCAAAAATTAACCGCGCGATCAAATCAGCAAAATAGAATTGACTTGGAATGAACGTTATTGTCGTAGCCAAACAGTTGATTCAATTAAGAACAATTTATTTATTTAGTTGCAAATCCACCCTATAGCAAATTTCAATCGTTTCCATCATCATCATTATCATCATCATCATCAGCAGCAGCAGCAGCAGTCAGAACATATGAGAAAACTCATTCAAAAGACACATCAAGCAATCGTTATATTATTATTAAACGGAACTTAAACAGAACAATAGACGTTTTCTGCCCAAGACCTCAAATGAATAGATAATCAAATGAAGAAGAAATACTGTGTGTACATGTTCAGCCCCACCGTATTTTCTCGTTGGTTGCACCAGCACCGCACGCATTGCACATTGGTTACGCTCATTACCTCGTTCACTCACACTATCGTTTGAGCTCAATCACTGCATAAAAATAATAATGGCACCATTGTGCTACAATTTCAATATTGCCATAGATGAGCTGACGAGAAAGAAAGAAAAAAAAAATTTCATTGAAAATAAAAACGATGGATTCCATTTGAATAGTGGCAATGTAGCATGTGTGTCTGTGTATGTTGATGCACTTCAATCAAGGTATTGCCCATATGTCGAGTGCAATTTTGATTTTTGTATATTGTGTCGTATTATTTTGTCAAATGACACAAGTTCGGATCTCTTCACTCTATCCACTGTCCAATGGATAGTTTTTCATAACATTTTTTGCCTTGGCTTAGTTCGGCCTAGAACAAACACTAATAATAATTCATTATTGACGATGATCATCGTTATTGTTGCGGTCGATGTGCCGACCAACGTGTGCGTGGTTCAACATATATGGATGGCAAGTGGAGCGTTGGATAAATATGAATGTGTGTGTGTATGTTGTTTCTTTTAGTATGCAATGGCAATGGTCAGCACATGCGGATTGTCGGTGCAGCTGCAAAGTCTCTGCTTTCAATGTTGCTATGCCGCACTTGAAAGGAATTACGATCATATTTATGTTCACTTCTCAACTGATCCATTCTTTACTTCATATATGATTATCGAGAGAGAGAGAGAGAGAGAGAGAGAGAGAAAAATTACTGGAGAAAAGACAAAGTCGAAGAAGAAGAAGAAGTACATATCTATTTATAACCTGTTGTTGAATGTTTGCGCCGGTATGCAATAGCATATCATCTGCTTAATCGTGTCATTGAATTAGCTTTATCATCATGGCAAGTGTTATTGTGTTTTAGCAATTATGTCTGCAGTGAAGCAATAGAATATGATGAAGCCGAATGGCGTAGGCACACGAGAATATGTGCGCATCAAGCAAACCATGCATCTAATGTTTTTACAATCGGTTTTATTTGTATTTCCATTATATCAAACATTATTTTTCTTATCTGTTTCATTTCACCTGGGCTTCATGTTGCCATTGAACCCACATTTAAGTTTCGATTTTCCTCTTGATTCCATCGTCTTTCTCATCGTCTGTATCAAGGGAAATGACAAATGTAAATGCGTTCTCAACGTGCTTCGACATAATTCTTGTTTAATTTTTCCTCTTTTTTTTTTGAACATCGCTATCAACTCGTGTAAGCGCATGTGTAAGTGTGCGTGAGTGTGCTTTGTGTGACGACTATTGAGCAAGTATGAGCAAGTATTTTCGGCAGTTGGCATTGATACATACACACGTTAAAAACGAAAGAGATATTTAAAGAGAGTGAAGACAGTACCTTTTTCACGGCATTTATAAGGCAATTTTGATCTTGATCTAAATGTCTTTTCCACGCATTGTGTGGCACGATGATAATAATGAACTTGATATTGATGAACTTGACTGATACTGATTACCGAAGATGTGGCAATTTATTGAAATTCTGCTGAAATTCTTATTGTTTTACATTGTATTCGAAATATAGATAGCCACGGACAAAAGTAAATAAAATCCATTCGCGTTGCCAACGGTGACAAGTCATATTCTGGCAAACCATTTCATTCCCATCGAATACCAATCATATGCTGCGTGGTTCGCATCACTCTGTCAATTACATTTACATGAATCGACAGAAATTGACGGTACGATGTCTTACATTTGATAGCTCGACAACGTGCACACACAGAGAGACACACATAAGAACAAAACATGAATATGCTATCAAACGATTGTGCACCAACTCCATTTGAGTGCTTCTGTTCTGGTTACCCATGTTAAATATACAACATCAAATAACATAGATACACTTAATCTGGATAAAAACAAAAGATAGCGATAGAGAGAGCAACCGAGAGAAACGAATTAAAACCATTACAGCTTACATATTAACACATGTAGAATTAATAAACTTTTAAGTGTACTCAAAGTATGGGGATGATGATGAAATGTTGAAAGAGAGAGAGAAACAAAAATTAAATAAATGAAAATCGATTAATTCCGAAATAGAATTGATCGACATCGGTCGTTTCTAGCCAATTTCGTGCAATCACGATTTTACGCAACATTTACAACGCACTCACCAATCGAGAAAAAAAAAACCAAAATCATCATCATCGAAATCTCAACACTTGCGAGAAAATTTTGAAGAATAAAAAACAAAAATAAAACATTGGGAACCAAATGGCAAAGAAGCGAAAAAAAGAGGCAAAGCATAGAATGAGCAATAAATGCGAATGGCCAATGGTTCTAGATCAACATCGATTCTAAAAACGAGCTTTTCACGAAAAACATGCCTACATTTTCCACGCTTTAATGTCAATTTCACACGTTACTCTTCGCTCTTTGACTAACTCAATGTGCCAACCAATATCATCTTGTCTTAGCTACGAAAAAAAAACAACAACAAAATTCTTTCTCTTTAGTTCTCTTTTAAGGTGCCTTTTTTAAAGTTTTATTCGTGCCACTGCCGCGAACATAATTCCAAACCGCGATGTGAATACACACGCGGCCACGGATAAGTATGTACATCAGTTGAGTATAAGCAAGTGGAATGCACATCAACTCTTTTCAAACCATTATAAATATTTGCACGGAAATAAACCATAACACGAGAAAATTAAAACGCGACAAGTAATGCTTGATAGTGGTGTTGAAACGCATAAAAAATGTATTAGGCAACTTTAAAATTGAGTGCGGCACATAACAATGGCACATCAAATCGCAAGAAATTATTATTAATCCACGGAACAAAAAAACGCAGCAAGTGGGAAAAAAACAACAAAAAACCAGCGTTAAAATGAAATGTTTAAAGAAATTGTGTGTGTGTGTGTCTGTGCAGTTTTAAATTGAGTGAAAAAGGAAGCAAACGAAGTGAAATATATGGCGGAACAATTACAAAAAAAAAACGATCCGATTGTTATGTATCGGCATTATGTCTATGGTACGGATTCTTCTTTTCATTTTACACACTCTTTTCTCCATTTTCATTTCGTTTATTATTTTTTATTGCTTCTTCTCTTTAACTCGAAAAGACACACAAAAAGTGAATGCGATAATTTGCAAATGATTAAATAACAATTTTTCAGTGGAAATTGATAGAATAATGTGCAATTATGATCGAAACATCATCTAACTTCAAATATGATGAACGGAAATCAAGTAGCACAAATTTTTATTCAATGAAAATAAAAGCCTGTATTGCGAACGACATTTAATTATAGCACCGGAGGCTTGAGCATAGTTATTTCATTCATTCAAATTTATCTCATTTTTCACACGATTTTCAATTTGAATGCATGAATTGAGTTTCATTTTTTGATTCAATTAAAATCACATTTTTTTACTTTTCGATCGATCCGAAATGGGTGTAAAAACGTAACCACATGGCAAAAATGGTTACTTAAGTGACTATGAACTTGAATAAAAATAACAGATATCGATACCATAGAAAAATACACACCGAACCAAAGAAACAAAACAAATCTTATCAAATGCTGTTGTGCATTCACGTC